TATCAACAAAAAAAAAAAAAAATTACTCTCCTACTATTTATAATATGTCTGCTTGTATCAACAACAAAAAAAATTACTCTCCTACTATTTTTCCTTGCACTTTCAGGACCTAAAGTTTTAAAGACCTGAAACTGGTTTAAGTTATGCATTTGTCAGGTCAAAATTACTGCAACAACTACTTGTTTAGAAACCTGTCACTTAAATGGAAGTGCTCAATTTGGATGTTATGCATGACTGTTGCTGGCAATATGCAATAATATCTAGAACATTTAAGGAAGTATACACTTAATAAATAGAAAAACATACTGTTAATAAACAGAATATGAAGAAACAGATTATACACACAAACAAGGACTAATGTAGTCCATGTAATAAATCTATGACAGGATGATGGCTGTTACAGGAACTCAGATATTTCCTTACATACTGTACATCATGCTAGAAGATGTACATCTCACTTAGGAGATATAAAATGTCTTAAAGATGTAATAATCATAGGGAAATTCAGGAGAGTAAGTTCTAAGAAATTTAATGTCTTATATTTGTTGCTCTGTTGTAGAGGAATGCTGTTCAGGAAAAGATATCCTCTAAAAGACCTTGAGGAAATGGAGCAGATGGTTGCATGTGGTATCCCACTTAAATTCAAAGTGGCTTTATAAATACTCAGAAAAAATAAAACAATGTTTCCCTAGTATTTTATACAAATAAAAGAAACTAAAAGTTGATGTTTGTTGATATTAAAATTGGAATTCCAAAACAAAAGATTGACTTTTTTACACTAAAATGATTTTCAACTCAAAACTGATGATGAACTAATGGTTCAAGATGCGTTGTTATTAGAATTATTTGTACGTTGGATTTCTGTATCAATAGAACTCATAGGATAAGGAAAAATTCTAGTTTGGGATGAGACAAGGTAGGCCTCAATAGGGGCTGTAGCATGTGTTGCTGATGGACAGAGTCCCTGCTGGGCAGAGAACTCTGTGGATCCTTGTACCTGCACAGGTTTTTAATGAAGAGCACCGTGGGAGTCCTGGGGGAGCTCCTGTGCACGCCTGGGGCTGTGCCTGAGCTGCCAGTACAGCGTGTTCTGGACACCCTGTGCTCTCAGTGCCTGCACAGACTGGCCACACATCACATGTGCTCTGAGACTGCTATGCCCAGAGTAGTCTGTGGGGCCATTCAACTGAAAATTTGGTTGGTTATTGATAGAAACTGGATTCTGCCATCAAAACAGTAGAATTGGCAGGTATAGGGAGTAACTCCTCTAAAAATCTTTTCTGATTTTTAAGAGGCATTTATCTGAAATACACAGATTACAGGATCTTGGCGACTGGTACTTCCCTGCTCTAGTTAAATACTGTTTTGCTCCTTGGCTTCTGTCCTATTTCCACAAGAGGAAATAGCATCTCTTCCCTCTCATGGCTGGTGATTGTTTTTCTCTCAATCTGTAGCTTTATTATGGATCAGAGGGAGCCAAGGGCTAGGAGTGACTTGCAATCCTCAGCACATGCTGGTTTCTCCAGACATACTGCTTAGTAAGGAAATAAATTAGCGAGGGGTAAAAGACGCAATATGGTGCTTACCACCCTATTTCAGCACATTAAATATATACAATCTGCACTTCATTCCAACTAAAAATAACACTCAGATTAATGCAGCTTTCTTTGATATATTAAATTGAGAAATCATTAGCATGAATTACAAAGCAGGAAAAGTGTGGTTCAGTGTCTGTCACTCCAGAGCTGTGCATTAGGATGGATGTGGGCAGTTTGATGGAGTGGACTGAGCGTACACCCAGGAGTGAGACACGGCACGTATCTCCACAAGTGTCATCGACTCTTTCTGGAATTTAAGGCAGGTCTTTTAAGTACATATATTTCTATTTTGAGAGAGTCCATATTTAAACACTTTATTTTTTAGCAAGACTTCAGAATGTACAGCTCCAACTGATGTCTGTGCTGGCTACTCAGTATCCAAGTTCCAAACTTGAGGATTGAAATTTAGAAGGCAGTTTTGAAAATCCTGGCCTCAGCTTCCCTGGGTTTCTTAATTCCTAGTGTGATATCTGAATGGCCTTATCATCTTTGGCTGATTGAAATCTGCTACTGAGAAAATGCTGTAGGAATAATTATTACTCTATCTCACAAATCTTGACGAGCTTTTAAACTAGTATCTTCAATACCAATCAAATTTCACAATATAATCATCTTTGTAGGAACAAATCTAGAATATATTTTATTTTGGTAGCTTTATAATATTTTACAGTGTTAAGGCTGTGCACAGAAGCAGTTTAGAAAGCTGAACATCACTGATCCATTTTACAAATGGAGACAACTGCACTTTGAAGAGGGATCTGCATTAGACCACACAGACTGCAGCAAATTCACCACTAGAATACAGGATTTCTGATACAAATTTTACTCTACTGAACATTAAATCAGTGGTTCTTAAACTCTTGGCAGATATAGGCAGTCGTTGGTCATAGTATCCATGTTGCTTTCTTGCCTCTCCTTCGTAAATTAATTGGAAGTGTAGTTAAAAATACATTTCTACCATTACCTTTTCCCTTGAGTGATTCATGATTGTTACCACTGGGATGCTATTCAATAATGAAACTGAAAGAATCACTTGCTGCATCACTGGGGCAGAGGATCTGCTTGACTTAATTGGGAAGGGTCAGCCAATTTGCAGCAGGTATTGTTGCTATACTTACAGAAAATAATTTTGTGGTATATTGTGTTATTCTGGATGTCCGTCTCAATTATAAAGGACGGGGAAAAAATCTGTCATGGCTCATGGAATTGATTGGTTTTGCAAAGCTAATTCTCTTAAGATACACAAATGTATGTCAGTCAAAACTCAGACTGATGGGCAGGGGTCGTTGCATGGAAGTGGCATTTTATTGTGGTGAAGCCTTGTGATACAATTTTTTTTCTTTTTGTCCTGAAATTGATTTTGAGATCGCTATGTCTTCCAGGCATTGCTAACTGAGCGCAAGGCAATAGGAATGTATCAGCAGGATGAGGGCTGCCCAGCAGAGTCCAAGGGAGGCGGCAGGATGCCATCTGTCTGAGTGAAGACTCCAACAGAACCCTGGCATATTACAAGGATTTCTAATATGGAAATAGGCACAGGACAATTTCAGAAGTCTCCTCAGGTCTTGCAGTGGTCTCAAGCCTTGGATACTGTAATTTAAAAAAAATATTTTGATCTACTCATGCCTCTTTGCTGAATATCTGACCAAGTTATTATGATTTTTCATAAAGAGGAATAGTCTGCTGTCAGGAATTGGACTTGACGAATCAGCTAATGTAAGTTTCCAGACCTTTCAGGAAAAATAAAAATATGCCAGAGACAGTGTAGACACCTTTTTTTGGGGAAATGTTCTTAGAATATCTACCAAATGGAGGCGACCTTTTTTCTCTCCTCAGAATTGTCTGCCTTCCAGGTAACAGACAGGCTTTGCCAACAGTGGGCACCAAATGCCCTTCCTGAAACTGCGAAGATAGCTTTGGAGGACAGCACGGATAACCATGGAGATACATGGAAATGTATCCGGGCTTAGAAGGACACTTTTGTGTCAAAATTTACTTTTGAAATGCATTTTAGAAGGTTCCTGTGGGGAAGATGGGGAAACCTTAGGGGTTCAGTTAGTGTTTAATGTGGACCTGGTCAGCTTTCTGCTGGTGGCTGCTGAACATCAGACTCCCTGCCACTCAGGCACGGGCGACGTGCCCTGATGGGAGAAGCGTGGGGATGGGGATCTGCTCCATCCGGAGGGACACAGCTCCCTGCAGACTCCAGCGAGGCGTGGGGCAGCACAGGCAGACCCGCGCAGAGGGAAGGGGGGATGGCAGCACGGCAGGGTCCGTCCTCCAGCCCCGCTCAGGTCCGGTCAGCCCCGGCTGCTCCCGGGGCTCGAGGGCCCCAGGCTCCCCTCACGCCTTGGAAACTTCGGCCCCGCAGCGCCGGGCGCCAAGGGTCCCCTCAGGACCCGGGGGCTGGGATCCCCTGGCTCCCCTCAGCATTCGGGGGCTGGGGTCCCCTGGCTCCCCTCATCATTCGGGGGCTGGGATCCCCTGGCTCCCCTCAGGACCCGGGGGCTGGGATCTCCTGGCTCCCCTCAGCACTCGGGGGCTGGGGTCCCCTGGCTCCCCTCAGCACTCGGGGGCTGGGATCCCCTGGCTCCCCTCAGGACTCGGGGTCTGGGATCCCCTGGCTCCCCTCAGGACCCGGGGGCTGGGATCCCCTGGCTCCCCTCAGGACTCGGAGACTGGGATCTCCTGGCTCCCCTCAGGACTCAGAGACTCGGATCCCCTGGCTCCCCTCAGGACTCGGGGGCTGGGATCCCCTGGCTCCCCTCACAGCTGGGGACTGGGCGCCGCCGCCTCCCGCTGTGTCTCGGGCACACAGGGGCTTCTCAGGCGCCAGGATGCCCTCGGAGACCGGGATACTCTTATCCTCAAGATGGCTGGACATCGTCTTAAGCTGTGCCCAGTGAAGGTTTCGGTTGGGTATTAGGGAGAAGTTCACAAGAAGTTCACAAGATTAGGCACTGAAATGGGCTGCAGAGGGAGTCACCGTCCCCCGAGGTGTTTAAGGAAAGACTGGACGTGGCACTCGGTGTCATGGTACAGCTGACGTGGTGATGTTCGCAGAGAGACTGAACTCGATGATCTCAGAGGTCTTTTCCAACCCCAGGGATTCCGCGATCCCTTCACGCCGTTGGCGTTGGGACGCCCTGGCTGCCCTCTCGCACGGGCTCCCCTGGCAGCTGAGGGGCTGTCACCCACTCCCCGCAGGGCCGGGGGCGGACACCCCTCTCACCCCCCGGGGCGGTGCCGCCGCCGCCCAGCCGCTCCCGGGGGAGGCGCGGGCGGAGAGCAGCGGGGACCCCCCGGGCGGGGATCCCGTCCCGCGGCTGCCGGAGGCGGAGCCGCCGCCCCCGCGCCCCGTGCCCGCCCTCCCGGCGTGCCCCGCGGAGGGGCGGGCGGCTCATGTCCGCCATCCCGGCGTGCTGCGCGCCCGGGCAGCAGCCGGAGCAGCCGCGGCGGCCGCGTCCCCTCCCTGCGCTGTGAGACAGCAGCACCGCCTGCGGAGCGCGAGTGAGGAGCCGCCGCCCGCGCCTCTCCCCCCGCGTCCTCCTGCTCCTGCTGCTCCTCCGCCCTGTCCCGCGCCGCTGCCCGGCCGGCCATGCCGTCTCGGGCAAGGTAATGAGCCGCAGAGCCCCGGGGTCTCGGCTGAGCGGCACCGGCAGCAGGCAGCACTACCACCCGCGGGGCTGGAATGACTGGCAACCCAGGTGGGCAGGGCTGGGGCCGGGAGCGCGGGGTCGGCGCTGCGGGAGCGGGGCGGGCGGCTCGGCCGGGCCCCACCGCCGGGCCTGGGGGAGCGGGGCGGCGGCGGAGCCACTTCCTGGCGGCCGGGCCTAGCGCGGGAGGGCGGGCGGGCCCAGGCGGCGGGACGGGGCCGCGTCTGCCGGAGGCGGGACGGGGACGGGTCTGTCAGCGCTCGGCGGGGTGGGAGCACGCCGTGCTCCCCCCGGAGCTCCCGCGGCCTGTAACGTGTGCGGCCGGTGGCCGGTGTGTGGCTGCGGGCAGCGCGTCCCTCCCTGGCGGCCGCGGGGCGGGCGGGGGGCTGCGGTGGCGGGGGAACGGGGCTGGGCTCGAGTCCCGTATTTTCAGCCTGTTTTTCAGCTGGAACACCGCCAGGGAAGAACTGAGGCTGTAGGAGTACTCGTAGTTTTTGAGGGTTAACATCGTACTACATACGTTTATTTTGGCTTTTTTCTTTATTTTTTTATTTTTTAAATAATCAGGGGAGAATAGTTGATCTGTATTAACTCTCACCCCAGCCTACTTAAAATGTGTTGTAAAGCTTTAGGTGTGTTTACACCTGGCACGTTTTAGTAAAATTCAAAATCTGTTCACTTCTTTAGTTAGCTGTAGAGATTGTATTTCAGGTCTTAATTATTTTTCTAATCTGTCTCATGCCAGTGTATTTGCTCTACTGCTCAGGCTTGCTGTTTTCAGCGTCACAATTGTCCTGTAGAAATCCTAAATAAATTTGGTGTTTCTTAGGTTTTTAAAAAAATACTTGGATTTGAGGGTTTTTTAGTGTTTTTGAAAGTTTAACACAACGTGGGACCCTAGTTACAAACTTTCCAGTAGAGAACAGAGTGGCACATGCTTGGGAATGTATTGACAGCTGATGGTCCCAGTCTCATGTAGTTTGGACTAGAAAAAACTGGGTGAATGTGAAGGTCACTTCAACATTTACTGTGAAAGAAGCTTTCCTTTTGCTTGAACAGCTAACAGCACAGCCTCTAGGGCCAGTGCTAGAGGCTGTTCAATTCTTAATGATGTATGGGGCATGGTTATTTAAATTCTAATTTCTTCTGTGATTGAAATACTTGGTCACATAACTTACTGTTTTTTCCTCACTTAAGAACTTATGAACCTCATTGGTGACATTTTCTTAGAGCATCTAGATTTTTTTGGGGAGAGAATTAAGAAGACTGATCTCTTACTCCTTCCCTACTTCTTTGCTTCAGTGTTCTGGGCTGCAGTGTGTAATTCTGGGCCCTAACTCGTGACCTTTCCACCTGGAAGAAATTGGATGTGTCTTTGTGGTGGATGGCTTCTGTAAATGCATTTTGGTTGGATATATGAATTTGTCATGAGTTCTAGCTTTTAATCTAAGAAATACATCTTATGAGGGTTAGGAAGCTGATTTTATCCCGTGTACTATTGCCTACAGAGGGTTCAGTAGAGTTAAGGGTGAAAGAGTGTAGCTGCAAAAATGCTCTACCTGGTGAAAAGGCTGGTTTAGGAAGTTACCTCCATGTGTGGCTCTGGTGTGTTCCCTGTAGTCTGGTGCCTCCTTAGCTCTCAAGTCCAGCTGTGTGACCTGGACTGCTAAAATAATTGTCCACAAAGCCACAGCAGAGCCAGAGTTCTGAGAGCACCAGAGAAAATGTGGCAGCCTAAGGGAGCCTGAGCATGGACAGGGCCTCGTTCTGTTTCCATCACACTGTGTGGTCAAGAGCTTCTGCTAAGAAATAGCCAACACCTCTACACTGGTCCTGACACTTCTCAGAATTTAGCTGTATCATTTCCTTTAAATATTACTTTTGAATTGTTATTATTGTGGTGGTTGATACCAGGAATTAGAAACACTCACACAATCCCGAACACAGCATGTTTTCATCTATGTTCAGTGCTCCATTTTTTTACACCTCAGAAAGATTGGTGATGAGAAACCTGAGTCTACAGTATGAATTTAAGGACAGTGCAGAGATTAAATCAGGCTGTTGATTTGGTGTTAACTAATTTTTAAAAGTGATTCACATGCATGGTTGAAAGGAGATCTGTTATATAAAACTGACTGTGTTTCTTTCATAATATGAAATATAATCTTGGACAAACCCCACAACACAAATATACCCACATATTCTTTCCTTCCCCTTTCTGCTGGCTGTTTGTTTCATTTACTTCAGGTGATGCTGCTGGTAAATGCTTTCTTGCAGGGTGTGGAAGAGGTGAAGGAAGTGGCCCAAGTACTGAAAGCTGTAGTAATTGCAGTTGTTTCAGGTTCCTAAAGGCAAAAAAAGGAACTGCTGATCCATGGGTGTATCATCAGATGGATTGTTTTCAAATGCACTTTTTTGTGTGTGTGAAAGTGACTAGATTGATTTTTCATTAGTAGATCCAGATTCCTCTCACTTTTTAGTAATGCTGATCAGCACTGGGGCTTGTGGTGAAATGAGTGTGAAACTGAAAGTTGGAGTGCAGAGGTTTTTTTTTAAGGAAGAGTAGTTTTTAATGAAAATTAGTTTTTTTTTGTGTGTGTGTATGCAGTCATACATCAGATGCACATGGACTGGTTTTCCAACAGTGTGTGTGCAGATAGAGCTGTCTGTTTGTTACAGAGGAAGAAGTTGTCCTGATGTATAAGGGCTTATTACTTTGTGCTCTGCTGTGTACCAGACTCAATTAATAGCAACACAAAAACTTTGTAGACAGATGTTGGATGGATGTGACAGAGCAGTGAAGGGTTTCTTGAGAAGGCTTGATAAGATCTTGTTCCTCCTTCTCCTAATCTTTGCAGCTGTCTAGACCTTTGCTTCTTTCTTTTCTCATTGTTTAGTAGATCTCACTGCATTTTCCCTGTTACAAGTCTCAGGGCAAAAAATAAAATAATTTCAGTGTGCAGGCCTTGTGTGTGAACAGAGTTCATTTGTTAGAGTGCTGAGGGCTAATTATGTAGTGAAACAAGTAGTACTGCTCTTTGGGGGGAAATGCAGGAGTGTGAGTGCAGGGTAGCAGGTTAGCAAGTGCAGGGTGCACCATGGCATTCTCAGGTGAAAGTGTGAAAAGGAAGATAAGATTTTAATTAACAGGACCTCTCTCTCCCTCACCTTTCATAAATGTAGGTTAGCAGGGGAGGATGTGAAAAAGTGTAAAACAACATCTTTCACATCTGAACAACTTTCCAGAAGTGTCCTATTAGGTTTTAGTACTGAAATAATGAAAATGGCATGTGTCCTTCTCCTACAGCATAAGTCAGTGTTACGAGTTACTAATTTCTGTTAGCACAGTGCTTGTCAAACCAAGTTACTGCCTGGTCCTCATGGGTTTAGACTCGATGAGACAAGACAGTAAAATATGGTCTGCTTCCAGGTAGATTGTGGCCTAAGCAGGAGAGCATATTGGCTGGAAGTTTGTAACTGAGGACAAGTAAGTACCCTGTCTTTAATTGAGACAGGTTGGGAGATATTGGTAGGGAGCAAAGAAATCCATTAGATCAAATGGCCCGGGAAGGTGCTGCTCAGAGCAGTGCTTTGCACGTGGCTGTGAAGGGCTGAGGCATGTCTTCTACAAAAAGCAAGCACTCACTGTGGAAATTATCTGATCATAATGCTGCATCCAGGCAGTGAATGACAAGCAGGTGATAATAACAGGTGCTTGTTGAAGGAAAGTTGAGACAGAGACTCTGTTACTTCTGTGCTTGCTTGTACAACAAAGTACCTGTAAAACCTTTGTTAGAGGTAGGCTGAAACTGTGGGTTGCACAGGTGAGAGACCTGCAAGTTGGCAATATAGAGGTGTTTGAGGATGTTGCTGTGATTACCTAAGAATGGGTGTAGAGTCATGTAGGGTGAAAATGGATGTGAGTCCTGTCCCTTCAGGGGTAGCTGAGAGAGAGGAGAGCAAAGACTGAGATAGGGAGGGAGAGAGAAAAGTAGTCAGGGATGTTGAAGGCAGCTTAAAGAATGAGATGCGTTGTTGTAAGGTTGTAAGGTGCCATTGTGAAAACATCAGTGGAAGCCTTGGGAAGAGATTCAGTGGACTGCATGTGGGAGATGCTGAACAGGAATGGATTCAGTTTGGGAGCTGCAGCCATAATTCTTGATCTCCTTTCACATTTGTGTTAAGTATGATGATAACTCTTTGATCTCACACCTTCCCGAGCTTTTTTTGGGTTTTGGTAAAATGGAGGAGCTGAAATTTGTAATGTAAAAGCTTTTGTTTTTAATGTGAAGACAGAGGAGAATGAGACGTGAGAAAGATTAAAGAAGCTGGAAGTGTGTCAGTGGGAAGCAGAAGAAACTTAGCGTGCAGATCATATTCCATTCAAGACCAACCATACTAAATCAGACCAAGGGTTTAGCTAGTTCAACATCCTGTACCCCAAAATGTCTGTTGGAAAAAGAAGAGGATGTGTATATGCAATACCTTTCCCTGCTATTCCCTTCTAATAATGCCCATCGTGGAACAGAATGAAATTGGTGAGCTACTGTGTAAGAAGGGAGTGGCACAGAATCAAGAGTGATTTAAAATGCTACTGTAATGGCAGGTAGATGTCCAGCAATGGAGATGGCAGAATTGCAGTAGGAAGATAGTTATTTAGTTATTCCACGAATAGAAAACACAGCCATTTGTATTTTCTGAGCACAGGAGAAGAAGCAAAAGTAGGTTTTGGGGTGGGCTCAGCCAGGCTCTGGCTTGGCAGGGTGGACCAAGTGATGAGAAGATCATGGCAAAAAGAAATTCTGCATGCCAGTGGCAGAACAGTCAGAAACTTGGTGGGAAGCTGTTAATTTGGGTGAATACAGTGACTCTAAAGTTTTAAATATTTTATTGATAAAGAATTTCAGTAATGAAGAATCTTATCTGCATTACTTCAAATAAACTTGGCAAGTAGAGCAAGTAAGCAAGCAAAATCAACTGACTTGAGCAATAATAGAGCTCACACAGTAGAGTTGCCTTGGAGTAAATCTTTCATGTAAGTCCTGTACTTGGAAATAAAATCAAATAGAATAATTAAGTGACTTTTATCTCAAAATAATGTCCATATGGCAGGGTTGTTCTGAAAAAGCTACACGTAATGAACAGTATACACTAGATTGTAGCAAGTTTCTTGGGCAAAAATTCTTAAGGCTTCCATATAACAAAAGTAACAATACGTTTTTGATCTATTTTTCTTTTTTTTTCTGGATAAGTTAAACTAGTTGCTCTTAGCCATGCTCTCTTCAGTCAGACAAATTGGTAAGTCAAATCATATTCATACTTTTGATGAAATGAGATAGTAGACTTATTTTTGAAAAGTTTCGTTTTGTATGCCAGCGGAAAAAAATAAGCAGCCTTTTTGGAGAGAGAAGACACGGTAGTGGCTAATTCTGCTTATTTGGGTGGGTGAACTATTTTCTTTTCTGTTGGACAAAGGCAGGTTTAAAATCTGTAGAAAACTGAACCTGAACTGACCCTGCAGAAAACTGAATGCAGTATCTTCTGTTTAAATGATACTGCTAAAACAGTGTTTGCAGCCACTTGCTGGTGATGGGTAATCTTCCACCAGAATCAGACGCAGATAAAGACTCTCATGTGAGCTCTTGAAGTAGTTTGCTTAGTCTCCATCAGTGAGCTTTCAGGTAGAAGTAATGCAGTGTAGTCTCTCATAAAGCGCCAAATAAACTTTGGAAGCTACAGTATAACGTAATCATAGTCATGTTCATCCTTGCAGTTTCCCATTTTGACTTTGTCTAATATAGCATTTGTATTTTTGCTTTTGCTTATCTGTTGCTAACATTGTACATTGAGGCTATCAATACATGTTTGTTAGGTGCGTGGCAATGTCAATGTATGTAACTTAAATTTGTTGTTACATGGGATAATGTTGAGCATTAGGTCTGTCGTGTAACCTGCCATCTGCTTGGTGCAATTGAAGTGTAATTATCACCATGTGAGCTGAACAGTGCCCTCCTGAAATGCAGGCATGAGCTGAGGTGACCAGCAGTACAGGTCTGCCCATTGCCTGGTGGAATGGTTGGAGGGAGGAAGAAGAAGTAATTATTTTTAAGACTTTGGCAAGTACCTGAACACAGAGTGCCTGCCTTTGAGTTGTGAGGGGCTGTCTTTCAAAATCATAACCACATTCCTGACATGAAAAACGGTATCTTTCAGAAATGGTATTGGAAATGGAGTGTGTCTGCCTGTGCATGCAGTGAGTGTGCGCAGCGGTGCCCTGTGTCACCCAGGCGTCTGGAGCACAGCGGATGTGACAGCTGCTGGGGTCACAGCCCCAGGTCTCCATAAGCCCATGCCACAAGTTCCCAGAGTGGTGTTGCAGGAGCCTGCAGTAGAGCTGAGGAGTTCCCTTCCCACTGGGAAGTGGTGTGTGTCACTGGGCAGCTGGAAACGCACAGGTCCATCAGATCCTCGGCTCTGCTTCTGCTGTGCCTTGTCTTGCAAGCTCCTTCCCATTGGAAATCCTCTTTTCAAGCAATATGAGCCATAGCAGTCAGCTGGGTCACAGAATACCAGCATCTTTCTGGGATGATTTTTGTCTCTGCCTCATAAAGAAAGCCAAGAGTTTCTATCCTATTGAAGCTACACATTTATTGTAGTGGGAACAGTGTTGTCAGTGGGCATTATTGTCTCTTAAATTGATATCTAGGAGAACAGTTACATATTTTCTTCTAAAATTGGACTCACCTTTTAGTTGGTGATAAGGTGTGAGCAGGTTGGCTTGCAGTTAGCTGTTCCAGAAGCCAGAATGAAGTGAGTGTGTGGGTTTTCCTGGGGAAACAATAGGCTCATGTATTTTACCACAATGGAAAATTTTACAAAGCATTCAAAGGCTGTCCTGTGGGAAGTGGGGTTAGCTGAGAACATGTGTAGTCCTTCAGTTGATAGTGATGCACAGAACAGTGTTAAAAATTGTACATTTAATCAGCTTTTCTACAGATGTAGGAATTTCAGTGTTAATAGTTGACAATTAGAGATGATTCAGTTTACAGCACATTGCCTTAAAAAAAGCGATGCCCTCTGGGAAGGTAAATGTAAGAAGCCATCAGTACTTAAATTTGCCAGCTGAAAATTTGTCAGCCTGTTTCATTGAAAGGCTAATATTATTGCTCAAAGTGAACTGGGAGGTTTTAGGGCAGGGAAAAAATCTGGGGTCTCTGTGTATGTCTGGAAATTTGCACATGATTTGGTCACATTTAAAGTTCATACCATGTGAAGTGCAGAACTTTCCTGTTCAGCATAGCTTAGGTGAATGATAATGGAACAATTGTAGAAAGATTTTTACAATTCCAGTTAACTGTCATGAATAACTTTTACTAAGGCTTTTCCTCTAGAATAGCATAGCCTATTTTTTAAATAGTCCAAGCAAGTGCCCACCAAAGCAGTAGATGTGATGGCACAGTGAATACTGAGTGAGGAAAAGTGTCTTGCTGTGTATGTCTAAAAATGAACTTGCTTACAGTGCAAAATGAAATAATTCCTGCCCAGCAATTCTAACATCAACTTGCACTGTGAGAACAGGGAAAAAGCACAGTTTTCTTATTGTTCCAAACTGATAATATAATGTCTTTTAGCATTCTCAGGAGGAAAAAAATATGTGTCTTTAATTCCAGTTGGTTTTGCAAGTGTCAGTAGTCATGGTATTCCTCTTCCAGTTGTACTGAGGCCGAGCTATATTGAAAAGTAGGAAGCCTTTAGCACTGCTTAAGTAATAACTGCCTATCAAAAAGTTTACTTGTGTTTTTCCCTTTTGGCCTTGAGATGTATTTGGCTCCCTTTTTCCTGAATTTTTCTACCAATTCTAATCACAGTGTTGTCTTGAAAAATGAAAGAAATTTTCTTTATGAACATGTAGTGTTTATCCTTACACAACTTGTAGTTAATTTACAGGAGTGATCTGTCCTGCTTTTTTGTTAAATAATCCAATGAACTATCCAAAACTTTAAATAAAAATACTAGATCTTTAGAGTAGGGAAAGCTTGCTGTAAATAATCTAAATAGTCTGATTCCAAATACACTGGAAATTCTGCTGATTCTCCCATTGGATGGGTATTGCTTTATTTGTTTTCATGTCACCCCCCCATCATTGCTTCTAAGAGTGCATTTAAAGTGATTGGTTGAGTTTATGTTCTGAAGTCTCATGCACACATGTTTATTATTAAAGTCCTGTATGTTTAAAATTAAACCACTTAGTGTGTCCATGGAGAAGAGTTGTTTTCATAATGTTATTATTTTTTCTTAAAAGTTTCGTCTGGTCTATATCAGTTTTCTGATATGAGAGTGGTTTAAACATAATGCAGATTTTTTTTCAAGTTGCCTTTTATCTGCAGACATTTATGCTTAGGATCACAGCTCTTAATTTACCTTTCAGTTTTTTCACAGTAAAGCCTGCTTCCTTGCTTAGCAGTTTTTATTTTGTAAAAACTTCATATGTGATTTTTCTGCTGATCATCAGTTACATTCTTCCATCTAATAAGAGGGTTTATGTTGCTGAGTAAGGCCCATGGTATATTACATAAATGTTCATCTGTAGATTAGTGATGACTTTCACAAATGGAAGGCACTGTATCATCCAGCTGTGATACATACCTGGACCTGGTTTTATTTTATTTGTCTCTTCTGGGAAGTAATGTTTTCCTTGTGTAGACGTGCAACTGGAAAGAGACTTGAGAAGGTCATAAGAAAAGGCACTGCCACACTAGAATGCATTTCCTTTGCATGTTGCTGTGTTAATTAGTCAATTCCTGTCCCAATGTGAATTTAAGGTCACTTTTTAAGCAACAGGTTAGACAAACAACTTTTTTGACATAGTGAAATACATTTGGGATTGTCATTTAAATATGTTTCATTTATAAGTGAATGTGAATCCCACTCCTGTTATATCCCTACATAAAAAAAAATATATTTTTCTCTTTGTAGAACTGACAGTGCATCAGCTGACCAGGACAATTTAAAATATTCTTCATCCAGAGATCGGGGCAGTTCTGCCTCCTATGGATTACAACCCTCAAATTCAGCTGTGGTGTCTCGGCAAAGACACGATGATATCAGAGTCCACACTGACATACAGAATGAAGAAAAAGGTACACAGATTGCTGTTTCATGTGTGATTGTGAGGGGATGATCAGGGAAAGGCAGTAAACTGAAATGGTGGAGAAGTTCTTGTTTTGTTTTGCTTTTTTTTTTCCCCCTCCTCCCAAAAAGGCAGTGAACTGATTTGTCTTGTTGCCACAGTATCGCTGTTTTGGGAGATTTGTCAGGGATCAAAGAAATGTTGTGGCTGTTGTGAATACTGAGAAAAATGTGCAGTTGTGTAAGAAGAATGCAAGAGAATCCTTGATGCATTAACAGAATAAGTAGTTTCTTCTGAAGAATAATATTCTGGATGTGTCTGGTCTTCAGGCTGTAATTTCTTCCTGAATAGTCTCCAGTACTTCTGGTATTGGATTAAACAGGCTACTAGACTGCTCTGTTGCCTGTTGTAGCTTCACTGCACCAAACTGGAATCTTTGTTTAGTAGTCAGATCTATATTCTTATCATTAATGGCAGTTTCTACTTTCATGTACCTCAGTCTGACTTCATGTAAATCATGTGATGTGTGATTCATACATTTTTTACTAGTTTTTTTTTTTTTTTTTTTTTTAAGAATGTAATTGCTATCTCTAGGAGATAACTAAACAGTCAGAATAATATCTTCTCTGTAATTATGAAAAATCTACATTCAGATTTTTTTTTCTTTCTTTAATTGCCAAATACAGATCTCAAGTTGAAGGATTTCTTACTTGCAGAGTCACTTTTTGACTATGTAAATCCTCAGGCAGGCCAGAGTCAAGAGAAAATCTCACAGGAATAGTAGTGTGGGAGTTTTTGTTCAGGAACCTAAAAAGCATTTGAACTCCCCCCATTTCTCTGGCCTGTAACTGGTTGTAAATAATTGCTGTATCTTAGGGGAAGTTACAGATGGATGCAAATTAATTTTTTTATAAGTAGAAGGTAGTATTAGTAGGTGGCAAAAGCATGAAGCGTGTTTATCTGCATAGTTTGAGAACCTCAAGATTTGTTTTACTTCAGTAGAGAAACTGCTTAGGAGGTGAGTGTATTTGTCTGTCTGCTAATGTGGAATGTTGTACTGTGTTTAACACAGACTGGCATAGGAGGTTGTTCTTGTCATTTGAAGGGTGCTGATATTTAAAGAATGTGCTGGTAGTGCAGTGACATAGTAAGTTTTGGACAAATTCAGAAAGGTAGTTTGTGTAGTTGCTGGGAAAGTGCCATTTGAGAAGAAAAATGTAGCTGGCTCTCCCTGCAGTGCTGTATCTTGCAGGGCATGTCTCTGCTAGCTCAGCACTTCATGCTGTTTTGGTCAGGTGTGACTTGAAAAGAAGTGATTAGGATATTCTAACTATAAAACCAAGTTCCAGGTGTATCTAGTTCATTTTTGTTATTTGAGAAATTTGTAAGCTTAAAGATGCAAAATATTTCCTTTGTTTACTAAGATTTTTCAATTCATCTGCTGGAGTCTGCCAGCATGGAATTTTCATTTGAGATTTTCTGTCCTGGCTTCCATACGCCCCCTGTTCACCTTCTCCCAGTTTTTTCTGGTGTTAATAATGATAATCACTTACAAATTGATAATTTTTTTAAGTTTTTCAGGTTTGAAAACCTCCAAAGATGTGACTCTTATGGTTAGGCTCAAATGCATTCATTAATTGCTGTTAGAATTTACTTTCTTCATAGGACAGTGTGGTTTGTTCTGACAAAATAATATGAAAGTGGCATGTTTGCTAGTTTCTGTTTAGAAACTGAGCTGTAAAAAATAATGTTGTAAATCTACATAGATAAACTAGCTTTACTGTCATTGTAATTGACCAATTACAAATGAGTTTGCACAAGGTTTTCTGTAATGGTAGGGGGTAGCCCCATGGTTATAGGAATGCACAAATGTATACTGCTAGTTAATATCTGCTTTTCATCAAATGTTTTGCCTTAAAGAAACATTTGTTACATCTACTAAGGTCCAGGTTCACCTGAACGTTTGAATTCCACTTTTTTTATCAGTCCTTTAGTCTCAGTAGGCAGCCACTTATGGGGAGCCACCTTTCCTTTTCCCCAGGCCTTCTTTTATACATTGAAGCAGGTGGACTTGTGGAAATATCTGTTCTGAAAGAAGTCTTGCATGTTTTTTCTTGTTTAACTTTATTAGTTGATTTTTCTCTGTCTTGAGCAGGGAAGGCACTTCAGAAATGTTCCTTGGAGGTGAGCTCCAGTACATTGAGTGGAGGATTGGGCAGGTCCAGGGAGCAGTTTCACTTCTCTGCAGTATTGAGGGGAGGAACCTGCCCCTCAAAGTGGTGGGGCAGGCTGGAGAATTTCCAGTCTCAGCATTTGAGTATGTTTATTCTTGTGGATCTAGGAGTAAGATCAGTGGAATTACTCAAAATGATGCTTTTATTTTCATTTTATATTGTTATCAAAGACGTATCTTAAGTGGGAGAATGTAGAATGTAGACTCCTTAATTGAGGATGATGCCAGTATTAGTGAAAATGTTGACCTTTATGATGGAATTACTCAAAATGATGCTTTTGTTTTCATTTTATATTGTTATCAAGGATGTATCAAGTGGGAGAATGTAGAATGTAGACTCCTTAATTGAGGATGATGCCAGTATTAGTGAAAATGTTGACCTTTATGTTTAAGGAGAGTTGTTCAATCTGTGCAGGCAGATCATATTTGTCTTTTCAAAAACTTTCTTTTTTTTGGCCATTTTACTTAGCTTGTGTGGTGGATTCATAGTAAAAACAGAATGGAGATTTCATGTACATAAAGGAGCAAGTAAGTGAAAATATCTAGCCATGTGTGCTAGCAGTTTGACCTTGTATTTTACAAAGCCTTTCAAGTCAAAGTAATAATAAGAAAATATTAAATGCAACAAAATTGATATTAAACTTTATGACAATAGTGTTTTTTTCATGTACAAAAAAACCCAAAAAAACAGATGAGATTCTTAATCTGTGGCCTGGAAACTTACAGGATATAACAAAACTTTGATGCATGTGGAAGTGAAGAAGAAGCTAAAGGAGGTGGTAGAAGATAGAGCTGCTAATTTGCATATGAATTGAATAACTCACCACTCACCACCCTGGTAAATATGTGGTCTGAGAGCCTGTTTTAATGTCACATTGGTTTGTCCACAGGTGGCTACAGTGTCAATGGAGGATCTGGGGAAAATACTTATGGTCGGAAGTCGTTGGGGCAAGAGCTGAGAGTTAACAATGTGACCAATCCTGATTTTACCAGTGTTCCGCATGGGAATCGTGCTTTAGCCACAAAAGACATGAGGAAATCACAGGGTAAGGACATGGCTGATTTTCAGGAAGAGGATATCTCTTTTGGCAATATTTCTTGTGTTCGGAATATGAAAAGTTCACTGTGGTTATGCAGTCTGTATGGATTTTATTTTTTGTGATACATGATTACATGGTGTTGATGGAAACTCGTTTTGCTCGTTTTTTGTCTTGTTTTACTGTTCCTTGTGCTGGGGCTTCCTCCATAGTTTGGCAGGTCTCTCAACTACCTGGCTTAGGGTGTTATTCTTTCAATTTCCTTTAGATGGCTTTTGAACCCTTACTTAGAGTTACCCTAGGTTAGCCAGATTTGGCAGAGACATCTCTGAGAAGGAGAACTTGCTTTGGATTTGTTGCAAATGGATGCCTGAGTAAAAAGTTGGTAATTAATGAGCCCCAGTGTGGGAAGAGCAGCAATGGTTGGGAGCAGCTCAGCCTTTCCCTGTTCTCCCTGGGCTGCAGCTCAAGCAGTGATCACGTCCTGAGCCTGCCACTGCTCCTGCTCCCTCTTGATGAGGAATAGAGGCCAGGGAGGAGCTGGAAGTATCCTAAGAATGTGGGCAAGGTCTTGGGAGATGCAGCAAGAACAAATTTGGAGTTTCAAGAGGGTGCAGGAATGCTGGGCTTGTGTTTTTGAGGAAGAAGGCTTCACTCTTCCCACTATTTGAGGTTTGAGTCATAGTTAAAAAAAAAAAAAGGCAAAAAAGTTATTCTAAGCATTTTTTGAATGAAAATAGAAACTTTATGACTAAGCACTGTCACTTATTGCATCACTTAGTATAAGTAGTAGTTGAGCCACTGGTAAAAGCTGCTGCTTTGTGCCAGGCACATTATAAGCATGAGGACAGGCTGTTTCGTCTCAAGAATTAGTATGTCAGAGGAGAAATAAGAATGTTCAGAGTGCTTTGCAGGTGGAAGAGCTGAGGTGTAAGTGGTGACATGACTGTTTCAAAAATGTGATTTTAGGAATGGGTTAAACTCAGACTTTAGAATCCTGTTCTGGTGTCTTGGTCTAAAATTATGTAGTCCTTTTGGTGCCTTTTTATGTTTATTGAAAACTCTTCAAATAAAAAAACTTTGTGCCAGTACTAAATAGTAGTTAATTCAGACTGTTTTCCTGGGTATGTGAGCATGTCTTTAATACTTAAAAGGTTAGGATATATAATTTTGGAATACTGAAGTTGCTGCCTGTGACTTGTATGTTTTCTCTCCTTGAAATGCCAGATTTCAAGAGTTTCTCCTTTTGAACTTGGCTGTCTTTGATTGTTGTAGGTTTCAGCAAGTCATTTTGGTTTTCTGTATCTTCTTTAAAATACAATGGGATTATGCTGCAACAAGATTTTGGGTTTTAAGTTCTTTGATGTTTTCTTGTTAGTATATTCATTAACCAATTTTTAAAATAGTCTTCTGTGAGTTAGCATGTGGCTGTGACCTTGCTGAATTTTCACAAATTGGATGTCACAGGTATTTGTTAACTAGTGCTTTGATTAGTGTAGCTTCAGTCGTGTTCTTGGTTAGTGTTTTTTGCTTCTGTTTTTTTCTTAAAGTTGTAATTGTGACTTTAGAATTAGCTGACACTCTTGGGGAGTAATGCCAATGTAGATTAGCTATTAAGTGAATAAAGACAAAGCTGCTTTAGTCACATCAGATGACTGATGTCTAGCAGAGTAGAGCAGAAAGCCCTGTAGCTGTCTTGGATTTTCTCATTAGTCATGTTGACTAAGGATACCTCATCATATTCCATGAATCCTCTGATTTGAACCACCATGAAACATCTAATGTTAAACTTATTGAAAGAAATTTTGTTTCCTTTTTTCAAATGAGGGCAATTAATTATTTGTATGAATTCATAGGTAATTTGTCCCTGAGGCGGGTGAGCTGCATTGTGACCTTCTCTGGTATCTCATGCTGTTGGTCAAGTTCAATGAAGTGTTGTCTTAGGGAGGTTTTCATTTTCCCCCATAATGATCTGCTGATGTGAGCAGCCAGGTCCCTCTTCATGCTGGGAGCTTTTGTTCCTCAGTAAATGAAGAGCAGATCTGTTTTCCTGTTTGAAGCAGAACCCTGCTACCTATTGGAGAGAAAATATTCTTTCTTTGTAGTTGCTTGAACTTCAATCTGGTTCTTTGCTTCAGGAAGCCGCTTGTTTTTTCCACAAGGTTTTCTAAAAATTTTATTTGTTGAATTATTTTTGCTTATTCTAAGAGAAGTCTGGTTTAATCTTACCCTACACCATTTTTTAAAAATTCCATTTATGTAGAAGGAAACTAAGTCCAGGATTTTGTGTAGAAGTAAGACAGTTCTGCTTAGTTCTGAATGAGTTCAACACAGGTACTGGGCTGTCCACATGAAGAAATAAACTATTTTGGTAGCTAAATTGGATTTTACATTTAACTTTCTTTTCATGAAAGTTTAAAACCAATCAGGAGTTCTTTTGAATTGTTTTCTTAAACGACTGTTATGACTTATTGATTCCACTCATACACATATTGGACAATAGAGTACTGTTGATAAATGCTGTAGGAAAAAATAAAAAATTGCTTTTTCCAGAGCGACCGTTGTCTTATTCTGACGAGTCTCGACTGTCAAATCTTCTTCGGAGGATTACTCGGGAAGACGACAGAGACCGAAGACTGGCTACTGTAAAGCAACTGAAAGAATTCATTCAGCAACCAGAAAACAAACTGGTCAGCAATTCTTCCTTTTCCGTAGCATTGGGTATTTCCTGTTTTGTAAAACTGTCTTTTTCAAATCTGGGTATTGGGATATGTCTGCAAGATTATGTGGTATACGAAGAATTTCATTCCACAAGGAAGGAGAGTGTATTCCTGGATTGTCTGTCTTGTTTCCATAATTTAGGAAATGTTTTATTAGGATGTATTGCCTTAAACTAAACTGCTGAATGCCTGAACTATAGGATTTGACATGGCATGTGTGTGGCTTTTTTTGACTGCTCTTAGGAATAGCCTCTGGATCCCTCAGAAAGGAAGTGGAGGGAAAGGGAAGTAAAGTGTTGTTGTCTTGTTCAAGAACTGTTTCTGTATTTTAAATTAAAAATACACAGGTATTTATTCTTGTGAACAGCTCATCTTAGAGCGACTCGGCTTTCTAACTAAACATCTCTGTATGTGGGAAGAGAACTAAGTAAATCTTTGTTTTCATTACTCTTTAGGAGTTCTGGTGGTTTGCTGAAGTCTCTAATGTCCTCAAGTGTTTTTTAAGGGGATGGGGATGGGAAGGGAAGTATCCCACTGTGGGTATAAATTTTTAATATTACATATTTTGAAATGAAATATTAAAGAGCATATTGTCTGACACATCTCCCCCACTGTTTTGGAAAGCTTAGGAGTTCTCCAAGTACTGAAAAAGCAGGAAGTGATGGTTTAATATCCTGCCACTCATTTGCAAGCAGTGCTCTAATACTTTAGCTGTGGGATCTGTATCTGTCCTTATAAATGAGAAATTTTTTTTGTTTTTCATTGTATGTTAATTAACCAGTGATAATTGTGCTCTTTTCCTTGAGCACAAGGAAGAGAGACTTGGGTATGGGGAATATTCTGGTCTGTGCACCTAGGTGTAAGCAGCCCTTGTGCAGGCCTAGTTAACACTACAGCTTTCCTCTTGTTACTACAAGGCTTTAGGAAGTAAATGCTTTCCACAGTTATTCTTTGGTTATTTTTAGTTACTTCCATTGTTCTCCATGATGTTTTCCCCATTTAAAAATTTTATTTTGTAACTGCATTTTATTTAGGTTTATTGGTATCTCAGAATATACTGAAATTGCCATTGTAATGACATTGTTAGTGGTCAGAATATTAAAAGTTTGTTACTTAGAAGCTTCTCTGAGCTCTCTAACGGGAATAAGTTGTCAAGTGATATCAAGGCCAAAACTTCATGATAGACAGTGTTTAACCTAGCAGTAGTTCCTGCAGGTCTTGACACTACTTAGTGTAGTTTAACTGAGTTCTTTTCATCTTCAGGGCTGAAATATGAGTTCAGAGTAAAGTGGTAGAAGTCAGTAGTCACTTGTCATCTAATGGAGTCCTTCTTCAGCTTCTAAATTATAGAGATGTCTTTTCCTTTTTAGCCTGTCTTGCAGGTACCAGGCACATTTTCAAAATGCCCTTATGAGTTCTGAGGGGTCAAGCATGTGGATCTCTGTCCCTCCACCCTCAAAAGCACGATGTTGCTCAAAACTTAAAATGAAAACTGGGTACCATCCACTGTTTTAAAGAAGAATGTCTTTTTGAAGAAAAGAGAATAAGCCTTATTAACTTGTCAAGAAAACTTCCTGTTAAGATGTTACGCAGTTGCAGCTAATGTGTGATTTTTTTCAGTCAAATCACTAGTGTGGCAGAGGTTTACAGGAAAACAAGTCTTTCTGGTTATATTTACTGAGAAGCACTGGTTCATCAATAATGCTTCATCTCCAAAATTGTATCTGATTTCACTAAAATGCAGGGTTGCCTAAGTAGAACCTTTAATTCTTCAGATTATATTATGGGCTCCATTAAATTTTCCAGTGATAGAATAGATTTATTAGTATTAGAGATTTGGTCTTTAGTAGATGCTACTCGTGAGCTGTGTGATGAGTCTTCCATGGTGATGTAATGTTATCAGCAAGAACTAAACTTGGAACAAACCTTGATAGCAGGCTGCCAGTATTTTCATGGCTACTGTAAATAAATATCAAATATAACATCCAGGATAATATTGCAGTGTTGCTTAATATAGCTTATGCTAGTCTGCAGTGGCCATGGAAAGCTTAATGGCATTCTCTTGGCAAGGAGAACTGGCAATGTTGTGTTTAATGTGAGTGTAAACAGGACCTATTGTGGAGGCAGTATTGGGCAATTACTGTGCTTATGCCTTTTATGTATCTTATATTACAGGTACTTGTTAAACAACTGGATAATATCCTGACTGCCATTCATGATGTGCTCAATGAAAGGTTAGTTGAAAAAAATGCTCTAAAGGGGAAAAATAATGTCAGCATTAGGTTTGAAATAGAGAGGGAAAAGTTTGAGAGAAATTAATGTGCTAATTTTGCATGGGTGTCCCCTTGCAGGAACAGAATGAAATTAGGGGGGGAGTAAAGGCTCTTAGGTGTATCAACAGTACTGTTGGGCTGTCTAGAGTACACCTCCCTTGGACAGAATGTGAAGCACGAGTGTGGCTTTGATGCTCTGGGTAGTGGGGAGTCTGTCTCAGGTGTGTTCAGTCAGCTGGTGGAGCTGTGCAATGCTGTGGTGGTGTAGCTTCCAAAATTAAATGAGTTTTTTTACAAGCTGACTTATTTACATCCAATTGAGAATGTATGTAGAGGAGTGAGTTTTGTGGGGGCTTTTAGGTGCTTAGGTCAGTGTTATTTCTCAAAGTCAGCTGCATGTTAAGAACTGTTTCTATTGGATAGTGTGTTGCTAGTAAAACAGCACATTTGCATACTTTTATTCAAGTTGCTTTACTCCATAGAAATAGTATTTCTTAGAATTTTGTCTTAACTTCGCCACTGCTGCCTATAAGTAGGAGAGAAGCAGCTTAATTTATGCATATATTTTCTTTTGCTTTAGAAAATGCATAGTTTTGTTCATGCTTCTGTTTTGCTGTCATGGCTGAAGATCCCAAGTTTCTTTTTTTCTCTCCAAAAATACAGTAGCAAATTGCTTCAGGAATTGAGACAGGAAGGAGCTTGCTGTCTTGGCCTTCTTTGTGCTTCTCTGAGCTACGAGGCTGAGAAGATCTTTAAATGGATTTTTAGCAAATTCAGTTCATCCACAAAAGATGAAGTTAAACTTCTTTATTTGTGTGCAACCTACAAAGCATTAGAGACTGTAGGAGAAAAGAAAGCATTTTCATCTTTAATGCAGGTAAAACTACAAGTTAAAACATGATTATTAATGATTTTCTCAGTGCAGTGCTTGAATGAACTTTTTAAACTGGAATGAACAGTAAGTAATGCTATATTGACATAATAAGTAAATATCATTACAACTGGGAGGGAACTTTCTGACTGAATGGGATTCTTTGATTCTGGTTAAATTAGAAAAGAATGACAAGTCTTTGTAGGATCATACATATTTTGATCTAACTTTCTAGTATTTATGGCAGATCCAAGAAGAATCTTGTTGAGACCAGAAAGAGAACTTATGTGGAATGGTACACAAAACCCAACCTTTTGATTGTTTTGTCCACCTTCTATTTACAATTTCTAACTGGAATTGTGGTTAGATCTGAGAAGGACTAGGATGTCTGCAGACAAGATGAGGTCTCCTTGTACAAGTTTTAGGGTTTCTTATTTTGGATATAGAGCAGCTATGGCCAGGTCTGTGCTCCACTTTAATAGTTACTTTACAGAGCCAGAAAGCTTTGGCAGGAGAAATAGGACTTAAAACTACACAGTTGTTCTGTGGCTAAAGACCTAAAGAAAGGTGTTCCCTGGCTCTGCTATGTATCAAGCAAATGCCCCCTTGAAGTGATTATTTTCATGCAGTGTATGTGATGCTTTTTACATTTTGTTCCTGCAGGAGTAGAGTTTTGTTGATTGAATCAAAGTAGTTTGTTACATTGTGGTCTCTCTCATGTTTTAATGTGAAATATCTGATGGCTTTGCTTTGCTTTTCAGCTTGTAATGACCAGCCTGCAGTCCATCCTAGAAAATGTTGATACACCAGAGTTACTGTGCAAGTGTGTCAAGTGCATCCTTTTGGTGTCTCGATGCTACCCACACATTTTCAGCACCAATTTTAGGGTAAGCTTTCTTTGTGCTTTCTTTCTACAATAGAAATGTTGGTGCAGCAAATTGGGTAACTCTGTTTTCACAATTGCTTTCCAGGACACAGTGGACATACTGGTTGGATGGCACATAGATCATACTCAGAAACCTTCTTTGACACAACAGGTCTCTGGTAAGTTTGGCCAGAGGAGCTCATGGAGGGTCTCACAGCCTGCTCTAACTTGCAGATGTTGGGGGAATTTACTTACACCAGTTTGGTTCTTCTGACATGGAAGTTGACATAAAACCAAATTGAGTTTCTGGCTACATAACAAGATACTTTGTTCCTAACTTTTTAGTAAATTTGCATTTTCCATTTTATGCTAATTCTGGAAAAATGGGATGCTTTATTCAGGGTACATTTAAACACCAATTGTTTTGTGCCATTTTGTAACAAGCTTTAATAAATTTATAGGTCTTTAGTGTATCCTCTGTGAAAGGATATGTTTTTTCCCTATGCACTTTTAGAAAATCTCTCATCAAGATACTGTACTGGCATTTTAAAAATGGGGAGAGTTTTTCCAATAGCTTTATCAGTTTTCTTGGGAGTTATTCACAGCAAGTTTATTGTGCCTCTTGTGTTATAGGTCTAGATTCTGTCCTTGGTGTTTAACTGCTGTGGGCAGAACTGAACCTTAAAATAATTTTTGCAAAAGGACAGAAGAGGGAGATACAATTTGTATTTCTTTTAAAAACATCTACTGTTAGTATTTTCATGTAGATGACCTCTTAGCTCAACAACTTTTCCCTCAGCAATATGCAACTAAAACTTAATGATTGCATGTCACTCTGTATTAATTGGTGTGGTGTTTTTATACAGGATGGCTGCAGAGCTTGGAGCCCTTTTGGGTGGCTGATCTAACTTTTTCTACCACACTCTTGGGTCAGTTTTTGGAAGATATGGAAGCTTATGCTGAGGTAAACAAGACTTTATGGTGTATACCAGAGTTAACTGTTATGTTTTTCTTAATAAACCCACAGCTGTGATTTTTATGGCTGTATTACTTTTGTAGAAAATAAAATTACATGGCTTTCCTGGGGAAGAGAGGACCAAATTATAGAGTATAATTCAGTCATGTACAGTGACCAACTGCACAAATACTCATGAACTATTTAATTAGTATTACAACCAGGCCTTCAGCCACTGTTGATTGAGAATATAGTGTTGTAATAAAACTATAAACAATTGACCAAACAGGAATGCCTTTATTTTTCAAGAGCTGATGTGAAGACAGCTTACGGTTTTTCCTTGATGCTTTATTTAATTGTCCAACCTCAGAGTGTTTCAGAACTAATAACTGTTGGGGAGAGAAAGGAAATCTTAATGCTTCAAAAGAGTAATGATAAATCTGTCTTTTTAAATAAAGCAGTAGATTACATTGTGCAGGAAATAATGCAGCAGGAACTGATGGAAAATGAGATTATATTCGTTTTATGTGCTTCATTTTGACATTGTAATCTTTGCTAACTATGCTAGGGCATAGAGTTTATCTGATGCTGTCATTAAAGAAAGAGCTTTGGGGTTGGGGGGTAGTGCTGTCTTTTAAGGGTATGTGCTCATATGAATATGTAGTTACAGGTCAATTATACTGTATTGTGTATGTTAATATGCAGGTCCTTTAGGTAAAATTGTACTTGAAGCATAATTTGTGTCACTCAAAGCAGAATCAATAATTTGGCCAGTGTCCTTCTCTGTACACCTGGGCCTTTGCTGGGGCAGCTTTAGGATTCACAGGGCAGAGCAGTAAATCACTGCTTATCAAGCTGGCTGCTGCTCTGGTCAATGTGTGTATTCTTAGTCACGGAAGAGTTTTAAGATAACGTGTGCTAACATGGAGGAGGTGCTTCCAGCCAGTGTGCTTATCTCACAGTGGGGTAGAGCAAGGCTACAGCTCTACTAATGAGATCAGCACTTCTGGGAATGTTCCCAGGCACTGGTGCCAGCTGGCATGGAGTAGTCTGTTAGTGAACTCTTGGTCTCCAGATCGACATAGTTTGCATGTGTGATGGGAATGGCCAGTCAAACATCTCCACTCCAGTTTGGGGATGGGAATTTCTTGGAAGAGAGGTAAAAGCGTGCAGACAACTGTTGTAACAGTGCAGCAATACAGACGATTGTGCTCCAGAGACCAGGAACTTCATAAGCCTCAGTTTGAATTTACAAGATATAGTCTGAGTACTTTTTTTCAGTGGCTGAACTCTGTGACTTCTCGTTGTCATTGTGTGCCTATATCCCACCTTCATATGTGTGTGTAGTTAAGAGATACTGGATAAATACATCTGTAATTGGATTGTACAGTTTAATATCTGGAAAAGAGATGAAGTATTTTCAATCTTACATTTTGATATTTTACCCACGTGTAAGTTAATGATGTGTGCTGATACAGAAACCTTGTGTGCTGCAGGACCTCAGCCACGTGGCTTCTGGGGAGTCAGTAGATGAGGACATTCCTCCTCCCTCGGTGTCGCTGCCCAAACTGGCTGCGCTTCTGCGGGTGTTCAGCACCGTGGTGAGGAGCATTGGGGAGCGCTTCAGCCCCATCAGAGGACCACCAATTACAGAAGCTTATGTAACTGATGTAAGAACTCCATTTGCTTTGTTGCTCACCTCTTTTGTCACCATACAGCAATGCCATTGACTGAGCTGATTTAGGTTTTACGAACGTTACATGAATATGTATATTCTCAGCTTTGAGTAAATCTATTTTTTTTCAAGAAGTATGCTACAATAATTTTATTAAAGTATAGATTGTGATAGTGGCACATGGAAATTGTATCAGAAACTAATTTTTTTTAGACATTTAAACTTCATGTGGCTGGGTTTGCTTGTTATCTTTGAAACCTTGTTACTATTTATTCAGATAACTATGCCACTATAGAAACTTGAATTCTAGATGTGAGTTTGATTTTATAAAATGTGATGGCTTTTATTTCTGTTGAAATTTTATCTATTAAATCTGATAGCAAACTTTTCTAGCTCTATAGTATAGGATGGTGTAAACTCAGAATAAATATTATATAACACGCTAAGTAGCTGATATAGTTCTGAAATGCGTGAGAAGATAAGATAAAAATAGCTGCAGTCAAAGTCTTGTGGTTGCTGGATGACCTGCACAGCTGGAATTCATGCCCTTGCAGAATTTTGTGAGGGACACAACTTCTTGGGTAAATAAGTGTATGGATTTCCCAGTTAAAGACAAGACAGTTATGTAACTTCTGCCTTAATCTGCAGGGGATTCTTTTGACCAAAGCTCAAGAAAACTCCTCTGTCTTTTCAAGGGCAGTTCTGTTGACCTTAGTTGGAACTGAACAGAACTGTGAATCATGAACTTAGGTTTTGTAGGTGTCTAATTGAATTGGAAACCAAGCAGTTGAAAGTTTGTTTTTTCTTACACTTCTGAAGTGTAATGTCAAGATGACATTTTTCAGAATAGAATTGAACAAGCTGCAGAGCAGGTGATGGGACAGGATATCAAATGGGTGTGAATACAATTAATTAGCATCTCTCTTTAATGGAGTTTAACTCAGTTGTGTTTTTAATTTTGCAGGTTCTGTACAGAGTAATGAGATGTGTGACTGCAGCAAACCAAGTGTTCTTTTCTGAAGCTGTGCTCACAGCTGCCAATGAGTGTGTTGGGGTTTTACTTGGCAGCCTGGATCCCAGTATGACCATACACTGTGACATGGTCATCACCTATGGATTAGATCAAATGGAAAATTGTCAGACTTGTGGCACTGACTACGTCATTTCGGTCCTGAATCTGTTGACACTGGTTTGTACATGTTTTTATTGTTGTGAGGGACTAGAAAAACAGTATATTGATTAATCTTTAATAATTAGTAAAAATTCAGGTAAAGTCACTTATTTTGGTTTTTATCCCCAGATTGTTGAACAAATAAATACAAAACTACCATCATCATTTGTAGAGAAATTATTTATACCAGAGTCTAAACTACTTGTTCTTCGTTATCATAAGGAGAAAGAGGTAAGAGTAAGTAACTTCTACAGGTGTATTCCAGCAGCCTTTGTGCACTTCCTAGAATATATTAAGCTGTAAAACTTAAGCTGTAAAGCTCACCTTAAATACATTTTTTAGTCTAACTGAATATCTGAAACTTCTGAAAAGGCAGATGTAGCTACTTCTTTGTTTTAGCATTTAGATTTGATAAAAAATTGGTAAGTTTGCCATCATTCCAGGTAGAGAAGTGCTTAGTTCATCTGGCTTTGATACTCAGCATGTTAGGTGGATTATCTAGAAAATAATTAGTGGGTTCTGTAAGAGGTGCAGAAAAAGGAAGATAGGTATCTGTATCAGACTAAGCTATTCATAGATAAAGAAGAGTGATTTAAATTCTTTGTTGCTGATTAGTGTATTTTATGATTTGTTTTAATAAGTTATTGCTGTCATTATGTTCTCAAGGTCGTTGCAGCAGCCCTTGCTGTATACCAAGCTGTATTGAGCCTGAAGAACATTCCTGTTCTGGAGACTGCTTACAGGTTGATTCTAGGAGAAATGACCTGTGCTTTAAATAGTCTGCTCCATAGTTTACATCTTCCTGAGGCCTGTTCCGAAATCCAGCATGACTCTTTCAAGAAGCTTATATCCAATGTGGATAATGCCAAGTTTGTTGTTATATTCGACCTCAGTGCTCTAAGTACTATTGGAAATGCTAAAAACTCATTAATTGGGGTGAGTAAAAACTCAACAGACAGTTCATGCAATAGGTATAAAAAATACTTGATTACTTAAAATTAATGTATTACACCAGTAGGGCACATATGTATAACTGAAATGATCATATTTGTCTCTGAGCTTCCTAAGTTTTAGAAAAACATCTAGTGTTAAAACTTAGGGGAAACAGTGGGTGGACTGTATCTCTAGCTGTTGAATAATGAAAAGCAGTTTCTAGGGAAGAGCATCTTATCAGGGTTAAGGGTTTAATGCTAAGATCATCATAGTAATTGCTTTTGAAACTCAAGACAGATAAAAGCAGCTGTAAAGTGTCCTTTGGTAGTATATTAGCCATATGAAAACACTTTCCAGATCTTTCCGTATAAAAACATTAACTACTTTTAACAGACTTCTAAAAAATTGGAAAGAAAATAGTTAGTCAGAAAACAATAGAGTTAAATTATTTCCTGTGGGGAAAAGGGGAAAGACATTAATTGGTGTGAAAATTACAATTAAAAGTAAATCCTACTTTTTATGTTTCTGTGCTTGTGTTGCAATTGTTTTATAGATGTGGGCCCTTTCTCCGACTGTGTTTGCACTGCTGAGTAAAAACCTGATGATTGTTCATGGTGACATAGCAGTTCACTTCCCTGCTGTGCAGTATGCAGTGCTCTACACACTGTACTCACACTGCTCCAGGTATGAGGTTTGGTAATTCAGTGGTGTTTTAAGAGCACTAGGATGGACTGATGTGAATAGAATATATTGTTGGAGTGATGAAATGAAATAGACTGTTACAATCAAGCTTTTGCCCAAACTTCCTTAATTAGTTTTTCCTTCCATTAATTGCAGGGAAAATGTCTCAGCGGGAAAGCATATCCTGGCTTAAAGTTGGCCTTTTATTCAAAGGCAGATTAGAAATCTTGTGTTTGAATAGAGATAACTGAGGCAGAACTTTACTGAAAGTAATTTAGGAAAGATTATTTACTATTTTCCTTACAGAGAGATCTGGGAGGGGTAATCAGATGTAAACAACAGATATAAATACATTTTAGACCTCATTAATACAAACTGTTGTTAAAGCAAGGGAATATACAATTTTAACTGTTTTCTTTTTTAGGCTAGGGATCAAAATATTTGGGTTTTGACAGTGTGGTTTGTGTGTCTATGTGTTCATTTAACTTTTGCTGCTGATTGTTGTTTTCCCTCCTCCTGTAATCTTTAGGGAAGTGTCTCTAATCTTGGGGTACTTTTACAGTTTGATTTTCTTTGCCTTTTCAGGCACGATCATTTCATATCCAGTAGCCTCAGTTCTTCCTCTCCCTCTCTGTTTGATGGAGCAGTTATAAGTACTGTAACTACAGCAACAAAAAAACATTTCTCAATCATACTGAACCTTTTGGGGCTACTGCTTAAGAAGGATAACCTTACTCAAGATACCAGGTAAGGAAAATATTCTTTTAAATTGGGATTTTTTTTTTTGTCCAGTAGAATACATTAATTCAGAAACCAGTGTAATTTGAATTTGTAAAACTTGGGGTAAATTTAACCTGTCAAATGTTTGGGTTTTTTAATACACTGTTAGTGAAATTGTGGAAAAAAGCAGCTGCTTGTTTTTATATATGAAAACTAGAGAAGTTAAACCATCCTGAGATCTACCCAGTAGAAGCAGAACTATCAAACTTCACTGAAAGAAAGAGTTTGCTCACTGAAATTATCCTTTTGCAATAGTTGCCATCCTGTATTACCAAAATGCTGTGAAATCTGGGGACATCTTTAAAGTTAAGAAATAATTTGTTTAGAAAGTGTGAGCTATGAATATACCGATGAACAATGTGAAGTAGTTTGAAAATACCTTTCTGTAGCTGTGTAGAGTGACTAAACTCTTGGTTTTTGAAGGAAACTACTCACAACATGGGCTTTGGAAGTGGCTCTTCTGATGAAGAAATCAGAAACATATACACCGTTATTTTCTCTCCCATCTTTTCATAAGTTTTGCAAAGGACTTTTAGCAAACAGTAAGATACTGACTATTTTTACTTAACTGTCTTTTACATTTCAAAATTAAGTGCATAAATAGCCTTGTCCCACTGATAGTAGCAACTGTACTTGTTTAATTTACTTTAAGGATGCTTCAGGGTTGTATTGTGCAAGAATTTAGACTATTTTTATGATTTTTTTAAAGTGGATCCCTGCCTGTTACTTAAACAATTAATTTTTGTAAAATGAATTGCAATCTTAAGAGATTCGACACATCACTGACATTTTTGGTAGATCAATTTCGCAGTCACAAATCGTTTATCAAAAGCACAGGAACAGTTCTGTGATGTATTCAATACCAAAATCTGTAAATAATATAGGAGCAAATGCAGAGTAGTGCAGAAATTACCTAATTCCAGCAAGAATAACTTTTTTTTTTCCTCCTTTCTACTCCTTAATTCAGCACTTCTGGAAGATGTGAACATTTGTCTTCAAGCATGTAGTAGCCTTCATGCCCTGTCTTCCTCCCTTCCAGATGACCTTTTACAGAGGTACTTGCACAGAGTTCTGTATGTTTTGTGAATTATGCTGATGATGGGGATATTAACACCTCTTTCCTTTTTGGTGTTGCAGGTGTGTTGATGTGTGTCGTGTTCAGCTTGTCCATAGTGGTGCTCGTGTGAGACAAGCTTTTGGAAAACTTCTGAAGTCAATTCGTTTAGATGTTGTGTTGAGGTGAGTTGCTCAGACCAACTTCAGTGTAAATAACGGTTTACTTTCTTCAGAGACATTAACCTGAAAAATAATGCCAGTGGACTGTCATAATGCTGTCTTAGTTCAAAATTAAAAAGCATGAGCTTACAGTGGTAGTTCTGGGTTGATGGTTGGGCTTGATGATCTTAAAGGTCTCACCCAACCCTCTATGACTCTGTCTTGCTATCTCTCCTATGCTTTCACTGGTCTAAGAACAGTATGGTAGTACACAATAATTAATACACTTGATTAGCTGTCCATCGCTTCTTGAAGCAAACACTGAAAATCTGTAAGGTCTCTGTAATCCAGAGCTTCAACAATATTATGTCCTGTAATTTGTCTTGAAGACCTGAACTCTGGAAACACTTGGTATTAATACCAAAGCATGTAATTACTTCTACTCGTTAGGTATAGATACAGTGAGTGTGTAACTCTTACACAACTTTCTTTTGTTTATTCAAGTATATTACAGCATGGGTTGTTTTCCCTCTCTTCCTGCAGTAACCGTACCCACACTGAAATACAAGAAATTTCTTTGGCTATAAGAAGTCACATGAGCAAAGCTCCAAGTAACACATTCCACCCACAGGATTTCTCTGATGTCATTAGTTTTATTTTGTATGGAAACCTGCACCGAACTGGGTAAGAACTCCTTGTAGAACTGAAATCTATGAATGTTGAATTTATAGTAAACAAGTCCAAGTTGCATTTAGTTTAAAATTTGTAATTATCATTGCAATCTATGTTGCTTTACTTTCCAACTTTTTTATACTTTTAAGTATTTATAAACATCTTACACCCTTTTTGGCATATTTTCCTATATACATTGCTGCTTGGAAGTTAATTTTGTGCGAGATTTGTTTGTGAACAGTAGGGAGATGAAGTGTGTACAGTATAAACTTGTTAATGCACTGATGTTTTCTTTCAGGAAGGATAATTGGTTAGAAAGGTTATTCTATAGCTGTCAAAGGCTAGATAAGAGAGATCAGCCAACCATCCCCCGGAACCTGTTGAAGACTGATGCTGTGCTGTGGCAATGGGCTGTCTGGGAAGCAGCTCAGTTCACTGTTCTCTCAAAGCTACGAACTCCTCTGGGGAGAGCCCAAGATACATTTCAAACAATTGAAGGTAAAGTAAAAAATACACTTTATTTTGATGAGATATTTTGGTAATGTTGTGAAGCAAAGGTGTTCATGTCTAAGGCAAGAGGCACAATGGGTTTATTTTTTAATGCTTATAGATTTTAAAGATGCTGCATAATTACTGTTAACTTGTGGTAGATTTTGAGAGATAGCAGTGCTATCCCTTTGCACACTTAAATACAATACCATTTGGTAACTGTTTTTTCCCGTGTTTTGGTAAAATGTGTAGGTATTATTAGGAGCCTTGCAGCCCACACATTAAACCCTGATCAAGATGTCAGCCAGTGGACTACTGCAGACAATGATGAAGGACACAGCAGCAACCAACTCAGGCTTGTTCTCCTTCTGCAGTATTTGGAGAACTTGGAAAAATTGATGTACAATGCATATGAAGGATGTGCCAATGCCCTTACCTCTCCACCCAAGGTTTGTCTGTCTTGCAGTGCTTATGTTGCTTGGAACAGTCTGGTGAATGAGCAGTGTTTTCAGGATTGTTCAGTTCTTAGCCATGGAATTCCAGAAAAACTTCTCGAAGTTTAGAGTCTTAAAAAAAGTTAACTGGCTTTAACTTTGGTGTGTTCCTGCAGAACATGTTAAACCAGGCTTTGTTTCTGGAATACCAGCTTGCGTAGTGGTACAAATCCAGCAAGACTGTAGTACCTCTGATTTGTAGCAGTCACTTATTTGTAGATTGTCAGCAGCCTATTATAAAGTAACACAATTATTTAAAGCTTTAATTGCTTTTGGGGGAGCGTAGTAATTATTTATAAGCAACGTACCCTGTTGTGTACTTCTAAGTGCAAGACATTCTTCAGTGTTGAAATAAGCTGGTTAATTAGCAGACTTTGATTGACAGTAATACATGATTTATAGTCAGTTCATATTAAGACTTTTGGCCTGCTAGTGTGCCTGGCCAGTTGCATGCTACATGTGATTTCAGACCATTTACATTAATAAATTTAAAGATTAATTGGAGACTGGAGAAAATAAACCTTCCTGCCTTTGATATCAATCTTAAGTACTTAACTGCGTTTTTGGTTTGTGCAGAAGAATGTTGTGAAACTTCTCTCCTGTCTCTGCAGGTTATCAGGACGTTCTTTTATACCAATCGCCAGACGTGCCAGGATTGGCTGACACGGATTAGACTTTCCATCATGAGAGTTGGATTGCTGGCTGGCCAGCCTGCTGTGACAGTCAGGCATGGATTTGATTTACTCACAGAAATGAAAACTAATAATAGTATCTCTCAGGTACTCTCTTTTCAAACTATGGAGACTATTGCAGGAATATTCACTATGATATTCTAAAAGAACTAAGCTAAGGCAATCAGTAGTTACTAAACCAAGTGGTATGTAAAAGGACGAGTTATCTAAAGCCACATTTTTAATTTGTATGTTTTCATTGTGGTTCTGATACTGTGGGTTGGAGGTTAGGATGTACTGAGCACATGTCAAATACTACACAGGAATGAATGCTGTAGTTAATTCAGTTTTAATTGAGCAATTTCTAACTTGGTGGAAACCTTGTGAAACTGGTGCTGCATTAGTGTGAGGCTATCCCAAACTTGTGGTTTGCTTACCTGTGGGTATGAGAAGTAGGGCTGTGTCATGGGGGTATCCTTTCTTTAACTAGGAGCTAAGTTCAGGGGTGGGATGGGTGGATAAAGTAATTAAAGCCTTCTTGAAAGGGTTGAATAGTTTCTTCAGTACATGACTTGACTTGCTTAAATGTTTTACCAAAGGTGATTTGATAGCTCTTCGTTACTTTGTGCTCCTTTACGAATTCTCATATAGGTGCAAAACCACCACACAGTGATTGCTGACCATTGGTGTTCAGGCTGTGGGTTCACAGCACAAACTCTTCCCTGCACTCCCCTGCTATTCCAAAAGCAGTGCAGTGGATGGATATCAGGAACACTTTTAGATGTTATAGTGAAATAATGTTTCCACATTTGAGTCCTCACCCACAGCCATGTGCCTCTTGCATTAGATGAGTTTTGTTAAATAACACTTTTGGTTTGCATTTAGGGAAATGAGTTGGAAGTGACAATTATGATGCTGGTAGAAGCATTATGTGAGCTTCACTGTCCTGAAGCTATTCAGGGTATTGCTGTCTGGTCTTCTGCTGTAGTTGGGAAGAGCCTCTCCTGGATCAATTCTGTAGCTCAGCAAGCAGAAGGGCGGTAAGTTTTCGCAAATTATTGGATGCAGCAAACGTCGATGTTTTTTCCTTCTAGGGAAAGTTCTGCTTCTGACTCTTTTAAACTGTGGCACGAGTCAAGGCTGCTGATGAATTTCCATGTCAATTATACTCAGTGAATCTTTTCAGAGATGTAATATGTATTTAATCAGTATTCAGCTCTACTCGTTCAGATTAAAATTGTGACAGTCAAATATAAAACTCATTTATTTCCTTCTGTCTCTACTTGATTTGAAGTTGAAACTTTCATGGACAAGCTTTTTTCAAATGCTATAACCTGGAAATTCCGCCAGTAAACTCTTATCCTATTTTAATCCCTTTCTTTTGCTGAAAGTGATACGAGCTTTTTGAGTATTGGAGTAAAATAATGCTAAAAATCTAGTCTATTTACAAAAAAAACCAAACCCAACCTGGTTCTTTAAGATGCTGACTGAAATATTGAACTGTTTTAGGTTTGAAAAAGCGTCTGCAGAATACCAGGAGCACCTCTGCTCCATGACTGGAGTGGATTGCTGTATAACAGGCTTTGACAAGACTGTTCTGAAGTTGGCCAATTCAAACAGTGTGAACAATGCCAGCCCAAAGCATTCCTTGAATGGTGAGTGTTGTTTTCTTTTTAAGAGAAATACAACTGCATGTTTAAATGTGTGTGCATAAAATGAGACCATTTGGTGACACAGCCATGCTAGTGTCTGACTCTGAAATCTGAAAACCTGTTTCTGTCTGCAGTTAAACTGAACCACTTAATGCCCTTGATACCAATATTATGTGTAGATAGAAGTGTTTGCAGTACTGAGGTCTAGCTGAATGAAACTAAAGATAATAGGTAAAATATTTAGTAACTTACTAATTTAAATGTAGTTTATTTTAGATCATCATAACTTAAACCTTAGTGTTTATGACATAATTGTATCATAAGTGCACTAGTTACTTAGAGGTTTTTAACTACTAAGACTTGGTTGCAGTATTCTGTTTCATCTTTGAAGATGAACCTCCTTTGTTCCTAATTTAGTTGTTCTGTTTTTCTGTTTTGATACTCCTTTACAGACATAAGCTAAGTTTTTTCAAAACCTTCTTTGAAAAGGTTCTTTTTTTCCTTAGGAAAAGTGTCAGTGGAATAATACTGTAAAGGTTGTGTAACTATTTCATTTTTTTAAATGAAGAGTTTTTCTTGACAAAAGACATAGAAATAATGCTCGAGTAATAGAACTGCTGTTTGAAAATATGTATTTAAGTGCTTGTTTGTATAAAATTTTTTCATTTCACAGGAGAAACTAGAAAAACTGTTCTGACTAAGCCAAGTGACTCTTCACCAGAAGTGATAAACTACCTGGGTAACAAGGCATGCGAATGTTACATTTCCATTGCTGACTGGGCTGCTGTTCAGGAGTGGCAAAACATGGTCCATGAACTGAAGAAAAGCAATAGTAATACCTCAATCAATCTGAAAGCAGATTTTAACTACATAAAGTAAGGGTAGAATTCATTTATTCAACAGTACCTTAGAGTTCATTGTTTTACAACTGAAATATTCAAGTTGTAATGGATTTAAAAAACTGGATGTCAGTTTCTAAGTAGAAGCATACAAAGAAGAAAGGTGTGTTCTTGGGAGGGTGAAAACTTGGCCATGGCATTTACAGATGAAGAGATAACATTCTAAATAGTTACTGTAGCTTTTTGGCTGCTGAGGCTGCTTAGTATTCAAGAAAAAAAATCTTTTATTGAAGAAAAAAAGATGCCAAATTTATCCTGCTTTACTCAGCAGAAGATGAATCCTTTTGCACAGCTTAAATAAAATGTATTTCAGTGGTTCCTAAAAATACCTTAATATACTAATTTAATGGAAAAAGTATAGGAAAGAAGTGGTCTTGGCTGCTGAAGTTTTAGTTTTGTTTCTTTTTAGAATGAAATTCAGAGCTGTAGCGTGTGCATTTATTTCCTGACCTTTGATATTTTTCTGGTTCATGAAAAAATACTTGTGACATTGAGTAGACCTTCAGAGTTTAAGGATAGTTTCTTTTTATTTGACAACTTGATTGCTTTCCATTCCTGCACGATTGTGGTACACATAGTAAAATCCTTTTGACTGAAATGTCTTGACTTGAAAATAAAAGCACAGAAGGAAGCAGTGAAATAAAATCTGCAGGTCTGAAAAGGTGACTGCTTCTGTCAGAGAGAGGGGCTCTTCTTTCCCTTTGGTACTGGATTCATTCATTTGGTGCACAACCTAGTGTCTTTTATTGATGTATCTGATAACTGAGATTTTTGCTTAGAATTAATTATAAGTGCTGTGTAGGATTTGGAGTTACTCTTGAGTCTTTTCTTTTTGCTGTGTAATATACTTGGCAACTGAAGTAAGAAATATGAAAATAAAACTATAAATGTTGAATTGCAGATCTTTGAGCAGCTTTGAGTCTGGACAACTTACTGAATGCACTGAACAACTAGAATTACTACCAGGAGAAAATATCAACTTACTTGCAGGGGGATCCAAAGAAAAAATAGGTATAAATGCATAAGTTAACATTTACTTCAAATGCAAAAATAAATATTTCTTTGTGTATCTGTCTGTATAAATGAGAGACTGAAACTTCTGAATGCAATTTGCTGTGTTCAGTGGACTGACCATAACCCTTATGAATCAAGCTTCAAAATGATTGGCAGTGGTCATCCTAAATGTTGATGCAAATGTGTTTTCTGGAGTTAATGTGACTGTTTAAATAATCTGTGATTAATTTCTATTGTGAATACATACACCTATAAAATACATTTTTTTTTAAAAAGAGGGATTTTTTTTTCCTAACTTCCTTACTGTGAAAAATGCATTATCAGATGGTGAAACATGATAAAATTTGGCAGTTCTAGTTGGTTTCACTTGTTTAATCTCCATGTAGACATGAAGAAGCTCCTTCCTAATATGCTAAGTCCTGATCCAAGAGAACTTCAAAAAGCAGTTGAAGTACAGCTTTTGAGAAGTTCAGTATGTCTGGCAACAGCTGTAAACCACATAGAACAGGAGCAAAAGTGGCAGTCAATATCTGAGTAAGTTGAAATGTGCTATGAATTGATGTAATGCACTGTGAAAACCTGTTCTAGTTTGTTAAACATAACTTTGTGTAAAGCTTCAGCATCTATGGCAGTTCCAGCTGTTGTGAGTTATAAGCTTACTGAGGAAAAATAAGATGATGTTTAACTTGTAGTTCATACAGTTTATAAAGTACTTGAGTTGATAAATTACTTCTGTGTGTCAGCTTAATAATGAAGTATTGTAACATAACTTGTATATTGCAACACTTTCTCACCATCCTTTTTAAAGACACTGATTTTGTTTTTTCTTCAGTAATTTTGATACCACTATTTACTCTTAAAAGTCTAGCTAAGAAAAATGACTGTCCTGATCCTTTATTTTCAGAAATCTTATAAAGTACTTAAAGCAAACATCCCGCATTGCTATTGGGCCGTTGAGACTTTCCACGCTCACCGTGTCTCAGTCTTTACCAGTGTTGAGCACTCTTCAGTTGTACTGTTCTTCTGCTTTGGAAAACACTGTATGCAACAGGCTGACATCAGAGGTAACTCTGTGTGTTTAAAACATAAATTGGGATAATGTCCTTTGCTATGTCAATATGCTATATTGTGGAGCATTGAATATAAAACATACATTAATTTTTTGACTGTTAATCGTACTGTAAAAAGACCTAATTTAGTTTTCTAATGTGCCTTGACCCAAGTGTTTATAAGTTTACATTTCAATTGGACTTTCCTCTATATTTATAAATATACCTTTCTTTCAATTACACTTAAAGTATTTTCGAAATGTTATTGATAGTCCCTTTTAAGTGTTGGTATTTCTTCTCTGAATGCATTGTAACATGCACTTAATTTACTTTCAAAGCAACTTAAAAATACTCTTAATAAAAAACTTCAGCAATTAAAAACTGAATGTCAGACTTCAACCACTATGAATGTTCTAGATGTCATTTCTAATCACATTGTTCAGAAGACAATTCTGCTTGATTTTGAGCAGTTCTTAGTGTTGTCCTCTAGAAATTAACAGAACATATTTCTCTTAGTTAATGATACAGTGTGGTTACTATTATAAATAAGAATGTTTGCTCTAAAAATGGTCTTTGGTTTTAATTAATGAGAATGCATTGTAGTAAAGTTCTCTCATGACAATTGTTCAACTTCTGTGCCTCTTGCAGGACTGTCTTATACCTCTCTTCAATGAAGCCTTGAGGTCATGTAAGCAGCACGATGTAAGGCCATGGATGCATGCCCTGAGGTACACGGTGTACCAGAATCAACTGATGGAAAAGCTTAAAGGTGTGTAAACTCTCATGGTGTTGTGAAAAGCAAATGTAGAATTTGCACTTAAGTTGTCTGCTGAAAGCAGCAGCTGTGTCTTTTTCTAGTATTTTAGATCAAGTACTTTTTAAAAGCCAAGTTTTTTTCCTTCAGCTGTCTTGCTTTACGAACCATTGTCTTGATTAGTGCTGTGATGTAGATAGTACCAAAAAGAAGAACAACATTCTGAAGTGTTTAGTAGTTGTATGCTCCTCTCCTAATGACCCCTTACTTGTTCATCACTTCATACTTTAACTGCTTTCACTTTTGAACATTTCAGCATTATAAGTAATGGGTCTTCACACACAGTCATGAAAGCCATTTAAATGTGCAGTATGATAAGAAGTAATGAGAGAAAAAGTTCTGTCAGGGGATAAGTAGACTTATTATCTAAGAAGAATGATTATAGTAGAAGAAAAATCGTTTGCCCAGCAGATAACCTGTGGGTATAATTTTTGTTTGAGATGGGGTATATAAATATTCTAGGCAGAAATGAAGTCATCTAAATCTCTGAAGCAATTTTTACTGATGCCCGTGTACACAGTATACTGGGCAGAAATTCTCTGTGTGTCAGACAGTGGTTTAATACTTTTGTTTACAATGTCTTGCTCCCTTCTTTAGAACCAACAGTCCCAATTAAAAGCCATCTAATGGAACTGGGCTTAACAGCAGCGAAATTTGCACGGAAGCGAGGAAACATCGCCCTGGCGACGCGACTGCTCGCCCAGTGCAGCGAGGTTCAGCTGGGGAAAACCACCACTGCACAGGACTTAGTCCAGCACTTTAAAAAACTGTCTGCACCAGGTCAGATTGATGAAAAATGGGGTCCTGAACTTGAGATTGAGAAAACAAAGTTGTTATACACAGCAGGTGAGTGTTATATTGTAGTGACGTAAGCTTTTTTCCTTATAACCAGGCTAATTCCCCTCACCTTGAAGTCACAACAGGGCAGTATCACTAGGAACTGATTTCATCCCATTAGCTCTTGTCTGTCTGAAGGTGTTTTCACAAGTTTTTTCATGCTTTTCATTCTTCAAAAGAGAATTTTCTGTGTAAAAATATATTGCTACAAGTTGTATCTAAGTGTGCTGAATTTCAGAATTGTTTTAAATAATAGCAGTGTACTGAAGATCTGCTTTTCATGATACGCAGGTCAGTCAACACATGCCATGGAAATGCTGAGTTCTTGTGCCATATCTTTCTGCAAATCTGCCAAAGCTGAATATGCAGTTGCTAAATCTATTCTCACACTGGCTAAATGGATTCAAGCAGAATGGAAAGAGATCTCAGGACAGTTGAAACAAGTGTATAGAGCTCAACAGCAGCAGAATCACACTGGCCTGTCTACCTTGTCTAAAAACATATATAATTTGATTGAGCTGCCAGCTGTTAATACTCTGGAAGATGAATATCCTAGGATTGAAAGTGAATCTACAGGTACGTTTCTTCTCACTGATATTTTTAAAAAATAGTTACTGATAAATATAGTGAAGGATAACATCAGTTGTATTGATTAAGACTAAGTGCTCCATCACTCATGCATTTGTTTTCCTAATACATGTGTCGAGGGCATGTATTTTGTGTAAAAGGTTATACACAGTTAAAAAACCCAAACACCTTAATACTGATATTTTATATTTCTGTCACATTTTTCTCATTCAAGTAATGATGGCCTGAGGATGAAACTGGGATGTGTTTATTTTGTATTGAGGATATCAGTTATTGTCCTGTGTGTGTTTGCTGAAGTTTGAGTTAGATCTTTCAGGTTTAAACATGGGCAGGATTTATGTTATGAAGGCCCCCGTAAGTGTGAAAAGTACTGTAGGTTTTTTCATTATCTTTAATCTGTAATTAATCTGAACACTTCTGCTGTTGCTGCAGAATGTGTTCTCATTCCTAATTTCCAGCAGACTTTTCTTTAAATGTTAAGATAAATTCTTTGTTGCTTTAAACTTGGATTTCATAAATAACTTCATTCCTCTCATGCAGAATCAGAATTATTGTAGAGCTGTTGGTGGATGCTAAACAGTAGGTGCTTTCTGACTTGATGGCGAAGAAAATAAATATATACACAGATAAACACAACCACAGTGCCCTGGGTACTTCATAGCAGTCTTCTCTCTGAAGCACTGTGCTCCTTTGGAGGTCATGAGTTCCTTGCCTCAGTTCCACCTCTCTGTGAAAGAGGAAGGAGTTGTAGAGTATCAGCAGTGATTGCTGGCACATGGAAACTAGGCTTTATTTTAAAGCAGTGTCAGAACTGAAAAATAATTGCTTTTTGGAAAATTCTGCACTGTTGGGTATTAATTTTACTAAATACTGTATACCCATTATTTTTTAGTGTTATTGTCTATGCTGAGGAAGGCAGAAGTAGATTTTACACTGTAACACATATTACTTTGTTTCTCCCATCACAGTAAACATTGGAGTTGGAGAACCAGACTTCATCTTGGGCCAGCTGTATCACTTGTCTTCAGTACAGGCACCTGAAGTAGCCAAGTCTTGGGCAGCCCTGGCTAGCTGGGCTTATAGATGGGGCCGCAAAGTAGTTGATAATGCCAGGTAAATACAGCCCAGTGCTTGAATTTGTACAGTACAACTGGTTTTCTTAAGATAAACCTTATCTGTGTATTTATGATTACTGTTGTATGTGGTCCGAAGTTTCCTGTGAGCAGAGAAATGAATATGCTCCTAGTTAATTGCCTCTGTAAAACAAAGCTAACTTAATTCTGAGATAAAAATGATTGCTTCCTTCAAAAAGTTTTATATATAGACTTGCAGTAGGTCTACAAATACTCCTGTAATGGGGATCAATCATTCATTAACTGTTACAGTCAGGGAGAAGGTGTTCGGCTGCTGCCCCGGGAGAAATCTGAGGTTCAGAACTTGCTTCCAGACAACATTGCAGAGGAGGATAAAGAGAAGATCTATGGCATTCTTGGGCAGGCAGTGTGCCGGCCAGCTGGGATTCAAGTAAGTGGAGATTTATTTGTTTGGAAAAATGTTCAGCTTCAGCATGAGCCTTATTTTCCTCTTCTTGCAGTTCACATTAACTCTTGTAAGTGTCTTAAAGTTAAAATTCAGGCAGTACAAGAAACCATCTGTTAGCTGTGTGGTAACCTACCTGTTGGATGAACTATGGTAATGTGATAAAGTAATGCAGTTGCATGAGCTGCTAGGCAGAAACTGACCTAGGACCTAAGATTGCTTGTGGAAATTGTTGGAGGACTTAATCAAATCTGCTTTCCCTTTATTTGCATTTAGGATGAAGACATGACTCTACAAATCACTGAAAATGAGGACAATGAAGAAGATGATATGGTGGATGTGATATGGCGTCAGTTATTAACAAGTTGTCCCTGGCTTTCAGATCTTGATGAAAATGCAACAGAAGGATTAATTAAAGTCTGGAGGAAAGTTGTAGACAGAATCTTCAGTCTCTATAAACTGTCCTGCAGTGCATACTTTACTTTCCTCAAACTCAATGCTGGTCAGGTTAGTGTTCATGTTGATGTAGAAGCCAAGTTATGAAGTCTTCTAAATGAGGATATGGGCTATATACTTAACTTAGAGGATTATTTCTATGTTCCAAGGTTCCACTTGATGAAGAAGATCCCAGACTGCACTTAAGAAACACTTCTGAGCAAAGCACTGATGATGTAATTGTGATGGCAACCCTGAGACTGTTACGATTGCTTGTGAAACATGCTGGAGAACTTCGACAGTATCTGGAGCATGGGCTAGAAACTACACCTACTGCTCCTTGGAGAGGTGAGCATATGTTATTTAACTGTTAAAATTCATTTTGAGACATTTTCTCTAAATGCAGAAAGCTGTTCATTGCACTTTGGTAATGTTTTTATTTAAGTGTGAGGAAAAGAGACCCTGTCTTTTACTAGATGATGTCACTGAAGATGTTTAAGTCTGCCCTACGCTCTGATTGTAAAGTAGATAAGTAGCACAGATTTTGATCCCCTCCTTCCCCCCGTTGCTTGGGTGCTTGAACCACAAATGTGTAATTTGTCTTGGGTGTTGGCCTACTGAAAGTTTGCCATGTCTTTTTTCCAACTCGTTCATCTACTGAAACAGATCTTAATTTTAGTTCTTTTAAATAGTGAATCTTGCTTTATCCAGGTTCAGATGCTTGTGGCTGAGCTGCGCAGAGTCACAGTTCTCTGGGATGAGCTTTGGTTGGGAGTTCTCCTGCAGCAGCACATGTATGTCCTCAGACGGATTCAACAGCTGGAAGATGAAGTCAAGAGGGTCCAAAACAACAACACTCTACGGAAGTATGTCTGTTTCCATAATACCAGGGATAATCATAACAAATGTTTATTCCTGGGGAAGTAAACAGTCAAATGAACCAGCAGTAGTGTTGTTCCTGAATCCATACTATCCCAGGTGCTGCTTTGTAAGCCTGGACCTTATTTCAGGAACAATTTATGCTACAGCTATTTCTCCAGTCAAATGAGAGAGACAGTCTATCTGTGAATCCATGTTGTGATTTCTTTAGTAATAAGATATTAGAATCCAATGTGTGTTGTATTGTGGATGATGAGATCCTATAGTTCTCTATTGCCAAAGCAGATGAAATGAGTATACACCATTCAGCATGCTTAATCTATTTAGACATCACTGTAATTGCAGATATTTGGAGCAAACAAGAATGTCTTAATCTGATTTTAGTTTTCAGTGTTGAACGAGTCTTTTTCCCTCACCTGGGTTCTCCTGTGAACAGAGTAGTGGAAGAGCAGATCCATTCACTGGGCACCTGGCTAAACTTCAGAATGCCTCTTGAATTCTGTAGTCAGGACTGACATGGAATGGGAGAACAGAATGATCTGAATGTGCCGCCTTCTTTATAGTGTGGTGCATCCTCAATAAGTAGTAGTAAAAAGGTCCTTTAGTAAAGGAAATCAATTGCTTGAAGTGATTTCTGCTAAGAGCTTCTGATTAGGGTTTCTGGTGGTGAACAATGCATTTCAGATGTTTGTTGTTTTTTTTAAAGTGTGGTTCAGAGGAATACTTTTCAAGGTGGAATGAAACACTCTTCATTTTAATATAATCATAACTCAAGACCTCATTTTAGAGAAGTAATAATTTTTGTGAGGTCTTCAATGTCTCAGTTGTTTAATGCTGTCTTTATGAAATAACTTGGTTTTATAGCATTAAGAAGAGGTTTTTATGTGTTTTTTATAACAGAGAGGAGAAAATAGCCATCATGCGTGAAAAGCACACAGCTCTGATGAAGCCCATTGTGTTTGCTCTGGAACACGTGAGGAGCATCACTGCAGCTCCTGCAGAAACTCCTCATGAGAAGTGGTTTCAGGATAACTATGGAGATGCAATTGAAAATGCACTAGAGAAACTTAAGAATCCTTTGAATCCTGCTAAACCTGGAAGCAGCTGGCTCCCATTTAAAGAGGTATTGCATGCAAGAAGAGTACATTGTAGAGACACTTGATGCTCTTGCTGCACCATGTGCTTGACCCTCTCCTTCTCTTGCTGTTCTCTTACCATATCAAAATTGCAGCCTCAGACTTTGTCTTAGCAGTCAGCACAAGCAAACTGGGCACTAAAGCACCATAATTTTTGTCTCTAGCCAGTCCTGTTGATTGTCTGTTATTGCATTTCTACCCATTGAAATTACATTTTTCAAATCTTGCAGCTTCTCTGTGGGATGCTGTCAGCTTTGGGAGCAGAGGGCTTTCTTTTAAATACTGTCTTTCTGAAACTCTGGTATTTGAGTTTAGTTGATGTAAGTTTTACCAAGTTAATTCTGTTTATCTAAGTGTAGTCCTTGGGCTGTGCAGCAACCTTCAAATGATCAACTCTTCCCAGAGATCCTTTGTCAATTATGTCATCTTCTTTTAGTTTATGGTCTGAAGAGAAACTAAATATTCTCTTGTCTATCCAGAGCCAGCCTGGTGTTTTTAAAACCAGAACAGAGGTTTTACATGCAAATAGACCTTTTTTACTTGTACTTCCTTTTCTGCTTTGCAGAGCAGACAAGCATTGAGATACATAAACAGGAGGTTGCTGAATGCTGCTGCCTTTAACCACAGCTCAGATATTTATAAATACAGGAGCAAACCTCTTGAGGAGCATGATTTGTTGTGACTTTGCTTCTTGTCACTGCACAGGGTATATTTGCTGCATAGAAGATGTTTAGTTTTTGTAATCTTCATCCTAAACTGTCTCTGGATTAACAGCATGGCAAGGGTGCAAAGGAGTTTAGGAAAAACGTGTTTTCTGAAGGATCACCACCATTAAGTCCGGTTTGATGATGTTTTTGTTCTTACTGCTAACTGTTAAGGTCAATGTCAACCTAAAAGAAAAAAATTTCCTTGGAATAGGTAATGCTGAGCTTGCAGCAGAGAGCACAGAAACGGGCCAGTTACCTCTTACGACTTGAAGAAATCAGTCCTTGGCTGGCTGCCATGATGAACACTGAAATAGCACTGCCTGGAGAGGTGTCCACCAGGGACACAGTCACCATCCACAGTGTGGGCAGCACCATCACCATCCTGCCAACCAAAACCAAACCTAAAAAGCTGCTTTTCCTGGGTTCAGATGGGAAAAACTATCCCTACCTGTTCAAAGGTAAATAATAGAATTTTTTGCATACCAGGTATTGTCTCTTATTATAAATTAGACTGTATTAAAGTTAGGAAGATTGTGTGGTGCAACACTAGTTTTATTTGCCTGAATGATAGAGACAAAGAGGAGTTTGAAGCATTTGCTCGCTCTGTTCCCTACCTCTCACTTCGCTAGTTTTATTTGCCTGAATTTTGCCATGTGAAACTAAGTCAAATCCCTTCTTTACGAGGCTTTCATCAGAGGAAATGCTCTGCTTGCATATTGATAGGATTAGTTAGATGCAGTTTTCCAGAAGCTTAATGTAGCCCCTAAAAGAGAATTTCAGAGACTTATTTTTCCTGCAAGGGAAAGGCCTATTTGTTATGTTGTAACTATTGCTCACACAGCAAGCTGGCATAAACTGGTAGGTAAATGCCATGTAAACACTTTGCTTTAGGCCAAACAACTCATCCTTACTCTACATATTATAAAGATATTTGTAGTCTGAAATGTAGTAGGTTTAAAAAAAATACTAAATTTTGGGCTTTAGGAGAATTTTTTTTATCTAGAAGCTAAATTGTAAACAAATTTCTTGCAGGTTTGGAAGACTTGCACCTAGATGAGAGAATCATGCAGTTCTTATCCATTGTGAACACCATGTTTGCCACGATCAACCGGCAAGAGACGCCGCGGTTCCACGCGAGGCACTACTCGGTGACACCCCTGGGGACAAGGTCAGGCCTCATCCAGTGGGTGGATGGAGCCACACCTCTGTTTGGGCTCTACAAGCGCTGGCAGCAGCGGGAAGCTGCTCTGCAGGCACAAAAGGTAATGGCTCTGTTCTGTGCTAAGTGGAACAAGGCAGGAGAGAAATGCTTGTTTTGATTTGCTTTGTGATTCTAAGTCACGTAGTCTTACAAGGATTGTGTTTTGTTCATAATAATGCAGGAGGGTTCTGTGTATTCATGTGTCTTGGGACTTCACCAGAAGTCAATGAAATTGCATCTCTCTTATTTATATATAATTACAGTGTGAGACATAAAAATGCTCTTCTGGCATGATAATTCAAGAGAACTGTTTTTTACAAATAGAATTAACCTTGGTTGAAATTATTTTAGTTCCGTATCTTGTTTACATTCTAAATACAGTTTTTGTAGTTATATTTATGAGATCTACTTTGACAGTAGAATTAGACTGAAAACACATTGTTTCAGCCTATTTAGACCTTAAATGCTGAATTTTGAAAGCAGTCTCTGAGCTGAAGAAGTCACACTGAGTCAAAGCATTGATTTAATATTTAATTCTCACCAAAACTGAATTTGGGATATGTTTCTGTGCTAATACATCAAATACCATTTTTATTTCCTCTAGGCTCAGGACTCTTACCAGACTCCTCAGAACCCTGGAATAGTTCCTAGACCCAGTGAACTTTACTACAGTAAAATTGGACCTGCTTTAAAGGCAGTGGGGCTTAGTCTCGACGTGTCACGTCGTGACTGGCCCTTGCATGTCATGAGGGCTGTTCTGGAAGAGCTGATGGAAGCAACTCCCCCGAATCTCCTCGCTAAGGAGCTCTGGTCATCATGTACCACACCGGATGAGTGGTGGAGAGTTACACAGGTGAGTTACAGCAGCTGTATTTTACATAGAAGAGGCTGTGGTTTTAATGGGATGAGGGGCATCAAATGCCTGAGGTGTGGTGCCTGTGAGTTTGGAGAGCTGGTGCTGCTGTGAGTCTGATGAAATGTTGGCAGTTGTGTCATTGAGTTAAAACAGGGGTATAGACCAGATAAGTCTAAAAAAAATGAAAACTCTTGTAAGATACCAACAAACGTCAAATAGAAAACTGCTTGAAATAAGTTGGGCTTGATTTGTTTTACACTTACACTTAAAATAATGTTTTAAGATGGTAGTCAGTCCAATGTGTTGGCAGAGGATTCCCACAAATAATTTTTTCCTGAAACTCTCTTTTAAGTCGTATGCAAGATCCACTGCAGTTATGTCCATGGTTGGCTACATCATTGGTCTTGGAGACAGACATCTGGATAATGTTCTTATAGATATGACTACAGGAGAAGTTGTCCACATAGATTATAATGTTTGCTTTGAAAAAGGTAATTTAAAAAATGCTCTATGTTATTCAAATAAAAGGTTTTCTTTCTTGGCAATTAAAAGAAACAACTTAATTTTTTATCTTAAAGGGAAGAGCCTTAGGGTCCCAGAGAAGGTCCCGTTCCGGATGACACACAACATTGAAACAGCACTGGGAGTGACAGGAGTGGAGGGGGTGTTCAGGCTTTCTTGTGAACAGGTATGGTTGGAGATTTGGAAACTGAGGGCCATCACTGGCCAAATACTGTCTTAGAACTTTTCTATTCTACATTCTGCTGCTGGTTTATAGAGCCTTCACCTTTCTGCTGTGACTTTAATTTGGCTTACTTTAGCTGTATCTGTGGTAGGTATTTAAGAAACATGACATTGTCTGATAAATGCACATGCAGGTAGTGGTACAATTAAAATTTAGGGTGAAAGGGGGACTTTTTTAGTTGTAGATTAAAATGTTATGTTTTTCCTGAATTTTTTTTGAGATATTTTGCTTGCCCTCTTCCTTTGGGACTCATCTTGTATAAACATGACATATGTTTTTAAAAAGAAAAATGCTTTGGGGAAGGGAGATTTTCCTCATTAAGTGTCAGTGCCTTGTGCATAGAGTTTGTGTGGAAGGCTAGATCTTCCTCCAGGCTTAGCTGCGTTTGTACCCACTGTAGTGTTCTCCCTGTCTCTGTAGTAGTTAGAGATACATTATGGGTTTCTGTATCCAATCAAGTACAGTATTTTGCCTTTAAGTTTCCACTGTTCTACAAGGATAACACAGAATCAGAACGAGTCTGTTTAAAATACGATGCAGGTCCTTCATATTATGCGGCGTGGGAGAGAGACTTTGCTTACGCTGCTGGAAGCTTTTGTTTATGATCCACTGGTGGACTGGACAGCTGGAGGAGAGGCAGGATTTGCTGGGGCTGTCTATGGTGGTGGTGGCCAGCAGGCTGAAAACAAACAGAGCAAAAGGGAAATGGAAAGGGATATTACACGGAGTCTCTTTTCCTCGAGGGTGGCTGAGATAAAGGTGAGTTTACTACAATAATTTTCTATTTTTAGTCCAAAGTAGGCTCTGTGCTTTCATTTTATTTATTTGCATTTTGGGAATGGGGGAAGGTGTGGCCGTATATCAGCAACAGTTCATTAATTTTATCGTGATAAATTGAGTTTATGTGAAGTGTTTATATTGAACTTGCAAGTATTTAATTTTTAGCTTCTGCATGCTTAATTCTAAAACGTATTTTAGTGTTTTTCCTGAATCTGGGCTAGGAGAATGAAAATAGAGGCTTAGAGAGCAGTTTAAATAAAGAATGTCTGTTAAGATTTGGCAGTTGTAGCACTGGAAGCAGTGCTAGGTGAATGGCATTGTTGAAGGGTTAAGTTCTGCAATATCTTTCTTTCTGCTGCCAGTTTGATTTAGTGCAGCTCGGTAACTTCTGTGTCTTGATTACAGGTTAACTGGTTTAAGAACAGAGATGAAATGCTTGCTGTGCTGCCAAAGCTGGACAGTAGTTTAGAAGAGTACCTGAACCTGCAGGAGCAGTTAACAGATGTAGAAAAATTGCAAGGAAAACTACTGGAAGAGATAGAATTTCTGGAAGGTGCGGAAGGAGTGGATCATCCCTCCCGCACACTTCAGGCCAGGTACAGAGGAGCCAGAAATTCTGTCAGAAGTCTCACAGTTCAATACAGATGGTGTTTTAGCAATGTACTTATGGGTTAAATGTTAGAAATCTGTATATGAGGGAATAGCTGGGTAAAAGCTATTCTTGAGGTAAGAAGAACTACTGAAACCTGAAGAACTACTACAGAAGAACTACTGAAACCTTTTCCTACTGAATAACCTTATTTATGTCCTGCACCTCATACTAGTCCAAGTTCCATGCTTGATCCTTAAGGCAAGAGAGGGAATGTTCTGAAAGTGGTGTCCGATCATTATAATCCACTTAAGGGAGCTATTGATTAATAGCACAAAAATCTTTTAAGTTTCTAATTATTTAAGTAATTTTTGAAGGCTATTTGAAATTTATCAAGTATTTCAGAATTGCATGAATAGGCACAGGCATTAACTGTTTTGTAAGAAAACAATTAATTAATAATGCAACATTGTTAGTGTAATGTAATTGGTGAGAACATGTTAATTTCCTGGTTAACAGTTGCATTGTTCAATATTGTTCTGTATTCTATAGTGTTAAGCATTTTCTTTCTTGTAGTACTTACTTGATTCTGTGGCTTCAATAATTCAGGTACTCTGAGCACACACAGTTGCAATCTCAACAAAGAGCTGTCCAGGAAGCCATCCAGGTGAAGCTGAATGAGTTTGAGCAGTGGATAACCCATTACCAAACTGCCTTCAGTAATTTAGAGGCAACACAACTTGCAAGTCTGCTCCAAGAAATTAGCACACAAATGGACCTAGGTACAAAATAGTATTTCTGGGGGTGGTTTTAATGGTTTGAAAATAATTTGAGTTTAATATCAGGAGGCATTATGAGTATGCTCTAACTTAAAGACAATGACCTGTTTGTAGTAAGTTAAAAGAAAGGAGCTTCTTCAAAAGGTGATTTAGAGCACTTCAAGGTTTCAGTGCCAAGCTGTCTGAAGGAATTTGTCTTATTCTACCTGGGCATGAGATTCTCTTACCTTGTGCTCAAAATTCTCAATATGAATTCTCTATGCTTCCTTTATCTCAAATAAAACAAAAATATTTTTGAGAAGGTATCAATGTTAAGTATTTGTATGGTATAAAACACATCTTCAGACATATCTTTCTTTTTAACCTTCTTTCTTTAAAGGTCCTCCAAGTTATGTCCCAGCAACAGCATTTCTGCAAAATGCAGGCCAGGCACATCTAATCAGCCAGTGTGAACAGCTGGAAGGAGAAGTTGGTAATTTTCTGCAGCAGAGAAGATCTGTGTTACGTGGTTGCCTGGAACAATTGCACAACTATGCAACAGTAGCTCTGCAGTATCCAAAAGCTGTGTTCCAGAAGCACCGAATAGAGCAGTGGAAAACCTGGATGGAAGAGCTCATTTGCAACATGACAATAGAGCGTTGTCAGGATATCTTTAGGAAGTAAGTTGACAGAATAATGACTTTTTCAAAAAATGTAGTTTTCAAGCTACTACCCTAATTTTATAGTTTAAATAAATACTTTTGCAATGACCTCTCTAATTACAAAGGAAACCAATATTAAGTTGTAATTCTAGAAGTTTGGAGTAAATATGAAAAACTGCTTTAAAAAATCCCATTCCATAAGTTAATTTGTGTACTTCAACAGGAAAATCGAGTAACATTGTCCTGTAATGAACAAATGGAGAATTTACCTTTGTGCCTTCAGAGTAGTAATGTTTTGAGTTTTAGAAACTTCTAGTATTTAAAAATCAATAAGGAAAGGTTTTTTTTTAATCTAGTAGATTTTCCAGCAGTTTCTGGGTTTTTTTTCTTCTCAAGTCAGGCTGTTTCAACATTGTTATGGCTTGGCCTAAAATATCTAGATTATATTTGAGCATTTCCTCAAATCTTTCTTTTTATCTTCCATTCATTCTTTTCTTCAAGGACAGTTGTCTTACGTCCTTGCAAATAGGTGTGGAATATGGTGCATTTTAGGACCCTATAAAAGCATTGTTAGGGAGTCACCAACCTCTTGTGGTGTTTAGAGTTAAGAAGGAGTAGGTGATTTAGGAATGGTTCAAACATGGAGTGTTTTTTCCTACCTGCAGAGCAGAAAGCAATCTGTTCCCACGTGAGAAGGGGAAACGTAGTCGCTGTCCTTGTGTTTGGCAGGTACGAGATGCAGTACGCGCCCCAGCCCCCGCCCAGCGTGTGCCAGTTCGTCACGGCCACGGAGATGACGCTGCAGCGCTACGCGGCCGACATCAACAGCCGGCTGATCCGGCAGGTGGAGCGGCTCAAGCAGGAGGCCGTCACCGTGCCCGTGTGCGAGGAGCAGCTCAAGGAGATCGAGCGCTGCATCAAAGTGTTCCTGCACGAGAACGGCGAGGAGGGCTCGCTCAGCTTGGCCAGCGTCATCATCTCCGCCCTGTGTGCCCTGACCAGGTGAGTTCTCTCCAGGGAAAGTTCCTGGTGGAGACCACACGACAGGAATAGTCGGTGATGGAATTCTGAGAGGAGTGCGGCAGCAGGCACCATGTCTTAGTGTCTCAATTCATCTAGGCGAAACCTGATGATGGAAGGTGCAGCGTCCAGTGCTGGAGAGCAGCTGGTTGATTTGACTTCAAGAGATGGAGCCTGGTTCCTGGAGGAGCTTTGCAGCATGAGTGGGAATGTCACGTGCCTTGTGCAGCTGTTGAAGCAGTGCCATCTTGTACCCCAGGACTTAGATATTCCAAACCCCATGGAAGCATCAGAAGCTGTTCACTTAGCCAATGGAGTATATATCTCACTTCAGGTGATTCTTTTATGTTGCTTTTCCCACATCCTTCAAGACTTCAGCGAAGTCATTCTGAATAGATTGTTCCTTAATGGGCTAAATGTTTGTTTATGATCTGCTGAGGTTTTTTCATAAGTCTTGCTGCTCATTGCTTTATTTGGTTGAGCTGAACAGGCATTTGCTTCTGTCATTTATATTTTTATTGGTTAAAAGAAACAGTTTTGATCTATACATGACAAATTGCAAAAAACTGCTGTCAAGAAAGTAACCATGAGGAGGACGTTGGTATCAGCTTTATAGGCACACCAGTTTCATGTCTCCTTTTCATTTTTCTGTTCTGTTGCTGGCCGTCCAGATCAACTTCCAAACTCTTCAGACTGTGTTCTTTCTGTTTTCTGCTCCTGCTAAACTTATTTTCACCTGAATCAAATAGTTTCAAATAAACTCAGAAAATCTGTTGTACAGGACCCTGTCTCCAATATTGGGTAGGAGAGAAATGACTTTATAATTTTGTGGTTCAGAAATGTTTCCACATTAATGAAACACAAAAAACCCGTGGAGGGCAGTCTGAGTGAAATATCTGCTGAAGACTGATGTACTTTATAAACTGTGGCTGGTTAAACAGATTTTTGAGGCTTTTAGTTCCATTGTATTGTATTTGAGAAATATTTTCCTCTAAAGCTCCATAAGTGCATTTGGATTTTCATCACTTTATTTTTTTCCCTCTTTGAAGTTGTAACATTTCAGAACTGTTTCAGAAATGTGCATGGCAGCAGTTTCACTGCATTGCAGTGGGGATCTTTCACCCACACATTGTTGTCCTCCCTGTGAGCTCTTAGATAAATTGTATTCACTGAGCTTCCTGCTCACTTGGCAGTCAAGATAACCAGTCTTTTTGGTGTGTTTCATCTCCTTTTGGAGACAGAGCATGTTGGTTCTTTCTGTAGCTGCCTTTAGTCCTCTGCTGCATTCTGCTTGGGGGAAATTGCTCTGTGCCACTAAAGGTACTGTTTTTCTTCCCTAAATTGATTTGTGTGGCAAAATTATCACTACCTGGCAAGTTTCTGCTACTTTTCAATTGTCTAGTCCAATCAGTTTAGCAAATCATAAATTCAGTAAATTATTTAGTTTGTTCATAGTTATGTAATGGAAAAGAAAAGCTGACTTTGATGAAACCAATTCACAAATTATGAGCTCTGTGCCCACCAGCCTCTGCTGAGCATGGCTGTCAGGTATTGCTGCTGGTGCTGTGGAGATGGTTGTTACTACATTGCTACAGATGTCAAAGCTTTGGCTTTGTACAGGGTTTAATGTTTTCCTGATTTCTTCAAAGTTAATCCAAGAGCAGACTTCTGACTCTTGGCTGACCACTATCATGTTGTATTTTAGATAAAGTCTGCTGCATGGTGGTGTAGTACTAAAATGACAAAAGTTGTTGCGTGTGATACTTTTTGAGGGGGAAGAGTTCTTACCTTTTCATACTTACTTCCCAACAGGAATTGAACTCAAACTTCCGGCAGATCATTTTCCCTGAAGCACTTAGGTGCTTAATGAAGGGAGAGTATACTTTAGAAAGTATGCTCCATGAACTGGATAATCTTATAGAGCAAACAACTGATGGAGTCCCTTTGCAAACGTTGGTTGAATCTCTTCAAGCCTACTTAAGAAATGCTGCTATGGGTATAGAGGAGGAGACACACACTCATTACATTGATGTTGCAAGGTAAATCACCTTTTTTCAGTTCAGGTGTGAGAGAGTGAAGACTGAAGAACATTAATTTGTCTAATTTTTTTTTGATGTACAGGCTTTTCTTGCCCAAGAATACCTTCAGCAGAGTGCAGGGTATACAGTGTGCTCTTGTTTCCACTCTGTGCGTTTGTGTGTTTATCCACATGTATACACAGAAATATGGAGCTGTGGCAATTTACACTTACATCTGCTTAAAACTGACTTTTGGTAGTCAACTTCTTCCAAATACATAGTTGTGATTTTATGTTTGAAGTGAAAGGATGCTAAGAATAGGAACTTGTTCATTAGTTTGTGGGAGGAACCTGTGAAAGGGAGAACTTGTAACCATGGCACTCCTCATCAGGAGTTTGATGAGCAGCTTTTGCTTAATGAGTCAGTAACTTGATTAAAAAAGCAAAATGAGACAAAACACCAAGCAAACAAAGACTTGGCATCTTGTAATGTGGGACAGTATATTTCTGGGTAGGTGCTTGGTACACAACAAACCAATTCAAAATCTTCAAGTGGTGTTTCCCTTGAGCCAGTTGTGGTGGGTCCATCAGTGGTACAGTGAACCTGTGGAATCAGTCAGCTTAAGAAAATTCTGTTTATTGTGGACTAAGCAAAACCATGTAAATTTTCTTTCTTCTTTTCCTGTTAAGAGTACTTCATGCTCAGTATGGTGAACTGATTCAGCCAAGAAATGGTTCAGTTGATGAAACTCCTAAAATGTCAGCTGGTCAGATGCTTTTGGTAGCTTTTGATGGAATGTTTGCTCAAGTAGAAACTGCATTTGGTTTATTGATTGAAAAGGTATGGATTTGTTCTTTTTGGAGTACTGTTGGACTCAGAATTAGGAAACCTTAAAAAACCCCAAACTAATTCATTTCCTTTACGTTGCTCAGCTAAACAAGATGGAGATACCTCTTGCTTGGCGTAAGATTGACATAATTCGGGAAGCCCGCAGCACCCAGGTTAACTTCTTTGATGATGACAATAATCGGCAAGTCCTGGAGGAAATCTTCTTTCTGAAGAGACTGCAAACAATTAAAGAATTTTTCAGGCTCTGTGGTACCTTTTCTAAGACACTGTCAGGTAAATAAATGTTGTCAAATATTCAGTATGCCTTTCTCCACTTCTCATCCTGTTCAGAAGAACATAAAGTGGTCACTTTTGCTGTAACTTACCCTGGATATGTGGTAAGGAAGCAGAAACTAAAAATGAATTCCTGTGCTTTTGCTGTGTTTGTAATTTGGATATTATTCTTCTGGACGCATCAAGTGTTTTGTTTATAACAGAAGTACTATTTCTTTCCCTTTAAAAGGAATCAGTTCAGTTGAAGATCAGAATGCAGTAAATGGACCTGTTCAAATTGTCAATGTGAAGGCCCTTTACAGGAACTCTTGTTTTAGTGAAGATCAAATGGCCAAGCCAATTAAGGCTTTTACAGCAGACTTTGTGAGGCAGCTTTTAATTGGCCTTCCAAATCAAGCTTTGGGACTGACCTTGTGCAGTTTCATCAGCGCTCTGGGTGTCGATATCATAGCTCAGGTAGAGGCTAAAGACTTTGGAGCAGAAAGCAAAGTTTCTGTGGATGACCTGTGCAAGAAAGCTGTGGAGCACAACATCCAGATTGGCAAGTTCTCCCAGCTGGTGATGAACAGGGCCACAGTCCTGGCCAGCTCCTACGACACGGCCTGGAAGAAGCACGACCTGGTGCGCAGGCTGGAAACCAGCATTTCCTCGTGCAAGACCAGCCTGCAGAGAGTGCAGCTGCACATTGCCATGTTCCAGGTGAGAGCCCAGCACAGGCTGGGGACTTCCAGACTGGCTCTGGGAGAAATGAGCCTGAGTTACAGTGTCTGAGCACAACAAACGTGATATTTTGTTGAATAAGTTCAAAGGTATTTTAATGGACTTAATATGTTATTTTGGTTACAATTATGCTGTAAATATATAAGGAACAGTGTTGCTGCTAGGTTTTCTGGAAGACTAGCTAATTTTTTGCAAATTCTGCAACATATAGATTTTTTTAATCAATACATGTAATTTTTTTCTATAGCCATTAAGTAGGTTTTTAGAAAATAGGTCATTCTCTGGCTTTCTTACCAGCAATGCTGTCCTGTTCTCCCCCTTTTTCTCAGATTATGACTTTAAGGGAGGAGATGGCTTAGAACAGTGGGTATGAGGTGCTGAATGTTATTTTGTACCTTTTCTTCAAAGTTTTAATGCATTGACTGTCTCCTCTCCACTCTTTGCTTCATTAAAAATACAAATAGCAGCAGTATCACTCCTGAAAAATGCTCTTCTGAGGCTTTAGATAAATACCATTGTGTACCTTTACACAGGTATCAAGTTGTGTTGTACTATCAGTGATCTTAATTGTATAAGGGACAGGCTTTCTCCAGGTCAGTTAATAAACCATTTCATAGACTGATAAGCAAAATTATCTTGGTTTTAAGGTATCACAAATGAATTGTTTCTGAATATTGATGGTTTTTCCTTTAGATTAAAAAGATGTGTGTAAATCACATCTAGTAAGTTAGTGGCCTGATTAATTGTATAAACATCCAAGCCAGCAAAACATCATTTACAACTACTTGTATAATTTAATGCTCTTGAATGATTTAGGACTTTGAGCTGTGCTGGTGCTGTCTGGCACTCAACCCTTTTAAGTGCCCTTACTTATAAAGGGTACCAGAGCATGGGAATTGCTGTTTGTGATGCAAAGTATTTTGTGCTGAGCATTATTGAGAATCAAGTGTTGCTGTTGCTTTCTTAAAGTGGCAGCATGAAGATCTCCTCATCAGTCGCCCCCAGGCTATTTCTGTCACTCCTCCTCCTCGCTCTGCAATTTTAACCAACATGAAAAAGAAACTTCACGCGCTCAGTCAGATTGAAGCTTCCATTGCAACGGTCCAGGTAGGAGTGTTTGGGGAGGGTTGTTCAGCAGCACCTTGAAATGTGACTAACACAAACTGCAGATCATCTGCCACCTTCAAACTATGTTATCTGGCCTGCTGTCTTACACAAGTGTGGGGGTATTGTCATTGATCTCTTTCAGTCCGTCTGATGGATACGGTTATATTGTTTGATTTTGTTGTCTCATCCAAAATGTTCTTTGGAATAGCAGTAAATGTCTTTGAAGAAAAATACAAATCTGTGAAAGTCCCTTTCTTTCTGAAGGCAGCTAATACTCCTTTTCTTTAAGTTTGTGAGCCTTAGATCATCTTTATTATCATTTTTCATAGCTAAATGTCAAAGTTCCCTTTGTAGAAATGGGCAAATTTATTCTTCTGTGTGTTAAGGTTTGTGTACTGCGGCTTTGCTCAGTACTTTAGATTTCTTTGGTGCCAGTAATGTAGAATATTTGTTTGTTAAATACTGCTTAGCTTCCTGAATTTTAATTTCCTTTTTTAGTTGCGTAGGTACTGTGTATCATAATTTCTTGAATTATTTGCAAAATAACGGAGGGACTCATATGATATTATGTAATTCTTAGTCTAGAAATCTGATTACTTTTGCTTTTTTTTTGGTGAATTAAAGTCTAGACAGGTAGACTTATATAACAATCAAATCCAGTTGTGATGTGTACTGGAAATAAACTTGTAAGAAGCATAAACTAACATTTGTTAATTTAAGAAGCCACAGTATTTTACATATATGGCATAAAAAAGTGTCTGCATGTGTTATATATGCACAATTTATTTACAGTCAGGCTTAGAATGCTGTATGTCAGTATGAATTATCTATATGGGCTTTTTTCTTCCCCAATGCAGGAGAAACTAGCAGCACTTGAAGCAAGTATTGAGCAGCGTTTAAAATGGGCAGGAGGTGCTAATCCTGCACTGGCCCCAGTCTTGCAAGATTTTGATGCCACTATTGCTGAAAGAAGAAACCTTGTACTGAAAGAAAGTCAAAGAGCAAGCCAGGTACTATGGATAAGTGCAGTGCTCTTGATTCCATGAGTGTGTTCACTCTTCATTTCCTACTTGTGGTTTATGTAGAAGATACTTTTCTGCTCTGCATCTAAAGAGCAAACATAGATAACCAAATACTTCTGGGAATCCCACTTGAAAGCAATAGGAATAATCTTTGTGAGAATTGCTGCAGGGTTGGATGACCCTGGGATGATACTGCTACTGTAACAGAGCAGTATCTGTGTTTTTAAAATCCTCACTTCAAAGCACATGAAAAAAACAGTTTGTCTAATAGACAGTTGAAATGAAATAATTTTTCTCACTCTTGCTTTGACTTGCAGGTCACTTTCCTTTGCAGTAATATCATCCATTTTGAGAGTTTACGTACCAGAACAGCAGAAGCCCTGAACCTCGATACCGCGCTGTTTGAGCTCCTCAAGCGCTGTCAGCAGATGTGCTCCTTTGCTTCGCAGTTCAACAGCTCCGTGTCTGACCTGGAGCTCCGCCTGCTGCAGAGGGTGGTAAGCGTGGGGCAAAGCATGAAACCTTCAGAATCACTGCAGGGAGTTCTCAGCTTTGTCTTCCATTCTCAGTGTTATGTATGCCTGCAGAGTTTATGCTGTCAGTTAAACACTTGGCAGTGCTGTCTACACAGCAAGTGAATTTTATCTCTGGGTACAGATAAAGAAATGTTTCTGTTATTTTTAGGGTACTGGTCTCGAACATCCTATTGGCAGCTCTGAATGGCTTCACTCAGCTCACAAGCAGTTGAGCCAGGAGATATCTACACAGAGAACAGTACAAACAGAAAGAGAACAGCAAATAGAAACAGTTTGTGAAACAATTCAGAATCTGGTGGATAGTATTAAAACTGTGCTCACGGGTCATAACAGACAGCTTGGAGATGTCAAGCATCTACTGAAAGCTATGGCAAAGGTATGCCTGAAACATCTTTAAATTTATTCCTCAAACCTGTGTCAGTACAGTTTAAGAAAAATAACGGTTGTAGCTATGTGCTTTGTAAAGTATCTAGAAACAGTAAAATGTTTATGCATATGGAGTTCAAGACATAAAGTTCATGTTTAAGAATTCACAAAACTTTCTAGCATTAGCCTTAGCAGGCATTGGTTGAACTGAACCTTTTCTCTCTCTTGGCAGTTGAAACATTGTTTATAAATCCTTTTGGTTCTAAATCTGTAAAAAAATTTATAATTTAAAAATTTATTTCTTCATACGTAACTGCTGAAAATTATAGTTATTTGTAATCAGATGGCAACCTGAAGGACTGAAAGGGCTTGGAAATCTCCACTTTATTCTCTTAGCCAAAATATAGCAGTTGACCTTTTTGCACATCTTGGTTACAGGATGAAGAAGCGGCTTTGGCAGATGGTGAAGATGTTCCCTATGAGAACAGTGTTAGGCAGTTCCTGGGTGAATATAAATCATGGCAAGATAATATTCAGACAGTTCTGTTTACATTAGTTCAGGTTATGGGTCAAGTCCGCAGTCAGGAACATGTTGAAATGCTGCAGGAGATAACTCCCACCTTGAAAGAACTTAAAACACAGAGCCAAAGGTAAGAGAGTTACCTTATCTCAGGTGAGAAAAGCCATTTTGCATACCTGCTTACATGTAGCAGGAACACATCATGGGGCACATACTTGATGGTTTTCTTAGAAATCCTCTTGCAAAATTTGAATTAATTTAATTTTTGGGTTTTTAGTAAGTCAAGTAGTTGCATGAGTATTTACCAACTCCATTATGTTTCCCAGTGTCTACAATAATCTGGTGGGGTTTGCATCACCCTTAGTCACGGATACAGCAAATGAATGCTCCAGCCCAACTTCAGCTGCTACATATCAGCCAACCTTTGCTGCAGGTAATTCTTACAAAAGTACAAACATTAAACCATCAGGAATTGATATTAGAGAAGGGATCATAGCTCTTACTGAACTTTGAAATGTAGACAATTTGCATAATATAAATAAATTCTTAGCAGTGGAATAAAACTTCTTGTTTATGAAGCGAAAGAAATTAGAAAATGGAAAGGTTGAAAACTGGTGCAGAATTTAAAATGCAAATTAAAAATGCATTTTTTCTGAAAAACTGATAGGTCTGTTTGATATGCATTTAATTGTGCTTTTTCATGCCTCTAGGATATGCTATTATTTTGAAGACTTTAAGCACTTCTAAACTTTCTTTACAGCTGTACGTAGCAATACAGGGCAGAAAACTCAGCCAGAGGTGATGTCACAGAATGCAAGAAAGCTAATTCAGAAAAATCTTGCAACATCAGCAGATACTCCTCCAAACACAGTCCCAGGAACTGGCAAAAGTGTTGCTTGTAGTCCCAAAAAGACAGCCAGGGACCCTAAAACAGGAAAAGGTAAATACAAACCTTAAAAACCAACAACCCTACCACTGACAGCAAGAAAAAAATACCTCAGTGGGTTTCTGTGCAGGAGTGTCAAGTTGCACTAACTCTATTTCGTACCTGTAGCTGTGCAGGAGAGGAATTCCTACGCAGTTAGCGTGTGGAAGCGGGTCAAAGCCAAGTTAGAGGGCCGAGATGTGGATCCCAACAGGAGAATGTCTGTGGCTGAACAGGTGAGTTGAAAATGAAGTTCCAGTACTGGTGCTTGCTTTAAATACACACTGATTAGCAGGTCTGTATGCTGAAGTGTGCCTTCAGGGCTGAAATCCTGTTGTGAGTGGGGGTTCCTTTGGGGGTGGGAGTTACTGCAGTGCAAATCAAGGTTGCTGCTGCCTTGTATTGCTGTATTGCTGTGGGTTTGTTGGTCATATGATTTTGTTTTTCATATGGGACGTTTATGTAAAGCCATGAATCAGATAAAATTGTCTTTTGTCTGTTAGTAAGCTAGCATTTGTTCCACAGCAGCTGATAGCCCGGGAGAGCACGAGATCTGTACAGCTGCCCAAGGGACAGGACTTCTGTGTTCACTAACATAACACACTCCTGTCTCTGGGCAACGGAGTCAGGGAACACAGTTGTCCGTGTCTATTTGAGAATGGTGTGGCTACTTCCAAGATAGGAGCTGTGAATGAGATGATAATGTGATTTTTTTTTTTGCAGTATAGCTTCCTGTTTCTTTTGTGGACTGCACAAAGTTATGTCTACAGTTATTTCAGATTTTTTTCAATGAAATATTTGCAGGTGGCATTCAACAGTAAATTCTAAGATCACTTAAACATTTTCAAAATTCTAGCTTATTTTTGATTCCTTGTTTGACCTTTTTAATAGGTTGACTTTGTGATTAAGGAAGCAACTAATCTAGATAACTTGGCTCAGCTGTATGAAGGTTGGACTGCCTGGGTATGAGTAGGGAGACAGCAGCTCGGTCTGGTTCAGCGAGGTCAGACATCCACCAGAATCAACTCGGCCTCAGGCATCCGTAGCCGCACCACAGTCGGTGGTGATGCATACTGGGGCTTAATCTGAGGAAACCTAGGAAATCTCGGTGCACTGGGAAGTGAATCCTGCAGGATAGCTGCACTCAGGGATACGCTAAACACAATGGTCTGCAACCCCCACGGTCAAGGGTGAAAGCTCACCGCTTGAGCAACACGGTTTGTCTTTCTGCTACGGAAGAACTGCAAACGTGTCTGGGGGTCAGCTGCAGAAAGAAATCAGGATGCTACAAACGGCAGAGTGATTTGGAACTCAATTCCACCTGACCCTGTGAACAATTCAGGAAACACCGAACCCTGTTCAAAGAAAAACAGAAAAATGGGGCCATGAAGAAATCACAGCAAGGGCAGATTTGATGCATTCAGATCCTTGTTCCTCTTGTTCTGTGGCAGCAGTGCTGGTTGAGTTGACCAGTTAGTACGGGAAAAGGCTACAAAATGTAAACTTCAGAAATGGACTGAAAGCAAAGAGCTGTACATCAGATACACGCTGCATTGGAAGAACTTCTGAGATAGAAGAAAAAGCCTTTGTTCTCTTCTCCCTTTCCTCTTTCCTTTCACTCCTCCCTCCCAGCCTCTCCTTGCATACACCCCTCTTGGCTTATTCTTGTAGGTTAGGCGTACTTCCAATATACTTTTTATTTCAATCCTTCTACTTCACAGTTTAGTCAAATTAACAACTTAAATTCTGTTTGGTAAACAATTTCTCCAAAAGCACTGAAAATATAGAACATCAACGATTACTTATGAGTTGGATGGTCAAATGCAAAATGTAATTTTGGTTATTTTAAAGTCATTTTTGTGATTCTATTATGTACAGTTTCTCAAAATTGTCACTGTGCATTTAAAAGTAATGATTCCTACAGGCATTTGATTTAATGTGCACTTCCCTCTGCTTGCAGTGTACACTTTTTTGTAATTCAAATTGTCCCTCCAATCTCATTCTACTGTGATTGCTGTAGTTTCTTTCGTACGACGTAGCTAATCCAATGTAATCTTTACCTTTTTAAAAACCAGGATAGAGTATCTAGTAGAGTTTTACATTGTTGATGACAGATAACAATAAAGTGATGTTCTGGTGGAGGTAGAGTGATATGCTTTTTACTTCATTTTCCTAATCCTTTTAGTTCACACTTGTAAATTCTAGTGCTTCACTTCGCAGGGGTATACATATAATCCAAGAAATGAAGGACTCTCAAATTTTTGTTCAACTAGATCTGTAAAGATTTCTGCAAAGTAGTTTTCCTTTGCCATATTTCTTCTATAGATGGCTGTTCAGTAATGTATCCATAGGGAATCTTCCACCAAGGTTTTTTTTTTTTTTAATCAGTTCTCAAAGTGTGATTATGGTCAGAAAAGTCTCACTAAAAATGGCATCTTCCTTGGATCAAGGTCCTGCTTGTCTGCTGGTTGTCTGAAAGACTTCTTGTTTTATTATTTAAGCAGGACACCTTTAGGAAAAGGCAACTTCCTTTTCTTAGAGAAACAAATCCCACAGAATTCAGCTACAACTGCAGAACTGTAAAGGTGCTGATAGCTAATGCACCCTGGCATTCTGAACCCAGATAAATTCATTGTAGCTCTGTATAGAGAGTTTCTCTTTTGTAAACTTGGTGAATTCATTATGGACAGTTGCTGAAAAATGTGGGAAGGTCCTTAATGCCATTTTAGTCACTTTTCAGAGTAAAACCACACTTTCAATACAGCATTTTTTCAGTCAAAATCCAAGTATTAAAATATTTGAGCCAAGCCCACTACTGGTGTAAAATTAATTTAATTGAAAGGGTTTGCAGCAGTTCATCTGAGTAGGAAGCTTGGCTGGTGATTTTTGGATAATGCCAGCAAACTTCTGTTCCTTTCAGTATTTGCACTATGCTGACTGCTCTGCCTCCGCAGTAGGTCTTAGAATTCACTTTCTCCTCTGTTGCCAACTTTTTGTGGACATGCACTTTGAAGTGTAACAGTTTTCAACAGTCATATGGCCTTCCTTGCACTCTGATTGCCTGATTACCTCTAGGGAAGTCACAGGCTTTGCATCTAACAGTACCCGTGCAAACGCATTCCACTGCCTCTGCTTCCTGACCCTCTGCCGGCACGTCCAGGAAAAGCTGTTGGAATGTTGCAGTGAAGAACATTCACATGCAGAACAGGACACTTGACACTGTTGGTCCTTTTCATTTTTTCTCCGGTTAAAAATAACCTTATGAACAATCTGTTGGAGAAGTGTAGTGACAGGAGTGTGTTGTACCTGCTGTTTTGTTTCTTGGAAGCTGGGGGGAAGGGAGGGGTAATGCACTCACCTGTGGCTCATGTATTATACCTCTGCCATCCAGAAATGAAACACTTGTGTGGAGATGGGTTCTTACTGCGTAATTTAATAAAGTTTTAAAAAATAAAAAAAGAATATGTGTTTTTAATTTCCTTCTGTGCAACACTGTGTGGTTGTGAAAATTACAGGGAGGAATAAAGTGCCTGATACAAACAAATACAAACCAAACCCCAAATTAGAGCAGGATTCTCCAGAGACTTAAATTTGCATAATTAATGCAAAGGAGACAGCTCAGATATGCAGGAGTTAGTGGGACTGTCACTGCTGGCTTGTGTGCTGACACATTTTTCTTGGAAAAGTTGACAGTATGGGAGGTTGGTACAGTCTTGATGAAACCTAAAATTCAGGTTCTGCTCACACATTCTGCATAGTAAATAAGACTGTTATATTCTCTTAAAAGATGCTTCTTACAAAGACATAAGGGCACTTCCTTTATTTTCAGTAGAACTGGTGTTTATTTTCCCTGCAGTGAGGCACACCTAGAATAATGCAGTCTGGAATCACCTCTCTAAACACATACAAACCAGCTGAAGCTATAGAAGTCAAGCAGTTCAGCTGAGGGCTATTTTTTGCCTGCTGCTTATCCACAGTAAATATTAACAAAGGGTTCATGCTATAAAATGATTTCTCAAAGCCAAATTTCACCTATGTTCAGCAGTTTTGTTACCTCCTCACAGTTCTGTAGGCTCATGGTTGAGATGCCCTTTGAAAATCGAGTTGCTTGTTTGCCTCTCTTCCTCTCCCGTTTTGGAAAGCCAGGATGTGAGCATGGCTCTGCCAAATGGGTTGCTGGGATGTGTTAAACTGGAGTCATTAGTGGTGTCCTAGATTATTTTGGTAGGATAATGGCACAGTCAATACAACAAATGGAAAATGCAGCAGATCTATACAGTTAACAGAATTTAGTTTTGTACTTTTTAGGGACTTCGTGGTCTGGTTTTGCTTTGCAACAATTGGTTTTGACCTCAAGGATTATCCTATTTAAATAGAATAATGTTTTTTCTAATTTTTCAAATGTTTGCAAAAGACCCAAGTCCCCCAAATCGAAGCTCTTTCTAAGTGCTGTAGTCTTTAAGGTTAATTTACTTCAATTATTCATCAATATGTTCTGTGCCTGGTACATTAGCCATTCTGTTTTAGTGCTCTCAAGTACTTCAAAGGTTTCTTTGCTTTCTTTTTTTTTTTTTTTTTTTTTTTTTTTTTCAAGCTTTTCCTAAAATTAGCACACATACTTTATGCATTAAAGAATTTGACTAGGAAAAGTATTTGAAAAACACCTGCCATCTGTGTGTTTGTTAATGTAGTCCCAAATTATAAAATGCATTTTTTCTTTAGTGAAGTTGTGAGCATACTGTTAACACTTTAGCTAAAGAATTTCACAGAAATTACAGATATTAGCTACAAACTACTGCTGTGTACATAAATGCATAGCTGATTAGAGCAATTCTGCCATTCATCAGGCTAATTTTTTATTAATAGCATAATGAATGTGTATTAGGTATGCTGGAAGGGTGGAGGCTTGACGTGTAAACTTTGTGTGCCTGTTCTAAGTGCACAGATCAGTTGCATTGCCCCTTTCAAAGGTGCTTTGAAGCCTGCTTGGGGATTTAATTTTCTGTGCATCTGCTAAGAGAGAATCTTGGTGCAGGCAGAATTGATGCCGCTGCAGCGTGGTCTGTGCCGGTATTGAGGCGAGCAGAACGGCTGGGTGTAGCTCAGGTAAGGTGCAGGAGGTACTGAGCTGCTGCTGACCCTCTGCCTCCTACACCGTGGCTGAGATTTAACAGTGGAATCTGAATGCCTTTTTTAATAGACATTTTTTAATTTGCCGTGGTGCCTCACTTGGCCTGGCTGCTCAGCGAGGGAGGCGCGGGCAGGTGGAGGGCCCTGCCCTGTGCTGTGCTCCACGGCCTCTCTGGCATTTCTGGGCTTGAGGGCACCCAGCAACGCTCTCCTGGCCCTCTGCCCCTCTGAGGTACAGAGCAACACGTAACAGGAGGGAAAGGCACCTCCACGGGCCCTCTGGGATGGAGAAAAGCTGCAAGGGCACCTGGCTGGAGAGCTGGTGTTTGAAAAACTGGCTGGAGATGATGGCAGTGCCTGCTTTTCCATTGGTAAGTGCTTGGGTTTTTTTGTGGTGAGAATCACATAAATGGATGAAACCCGGAGCTGGCTGATGGTATCTCATAGCCAGAGCAGTGTTGCTGCAGGGCACTGCAAATATCTGTGGAAACTGTAATCTATCACAGAACCACACGATGGTGAGGGGTTGGAATGGACATTAAATACCATCTAGTCCCAACACTCCTACCATGGGCAGGGGCATCTCCCAGCATTGAATCTCCCTGGGCAAGCCTGTTCTCACCACTCTCAGTAAAGAATTCCCTCCTAATATCTAACCCAAATTCCCCCTCTTCAGTTTGTACCCTTTACTCCTTGTCCTGTCACTACAGTTCCTGATGAAGAATCCCTCTCCTTGCAGGCCCCCTCAGACACTGGAAGGTTGCTGTGAGGTCATATGGCTCCATGCTCTTTTAAAAGACTAACAAAATTATTGCTGGCATCATCACTTACTTATGAAATCAATTTTTGTGTGAGCTTTGCTGCGGGCTCAGAGCAGGGCACGGGGCTGGGGAAGGGCCGCGGCGTGAGGAGCAGCGGCCGAGGGAACCGGGACACAGGGAGCTCAGGGCAGGGCAGGGAGCTGGGGAAGGGCCGCGGCGTGAGGAGCAGCAGCTGAGGGAACCGGGGTTTTATTTGGGACACAGGGAGCTCAGAGCAGGGCAGCGAGTTGGGGAAGGGCAGCGGCGTGAGGAGCAGCAGCTGAGGGAGCCGGGGGTGTTCACTGCGGACACAGGGAGGCTCAGGGTCACCTCAGGAACCTGGTCAAAGGGGGCTGGAGCCGGCTGTACTCCCAGGAAACAAGGGACAGGACAAGGGGACACAGTCTTAAGCTGAGCCTGGAGAGGTTTAGGTCGGACATTAGGAAGAATTTGTTCAGAGCGATTAGATATTGGAACGGGCGGCACAGGGTAGAGGTGACGGTAGAGTCACCATCCCTGGAGGTGTTTTAAGGAAAGATCCGATGTGCGTCACTCAGTGCCGTGGCGCAGCTGACAAAGTGGTGCTCGCTCGCAGGCTGGACTCAGAACTCTTTTCCAACGTGACTTTTCGGTGGGGGTGCCGCCCTCCCCAGAGCCGAGCGCCGCTCCCCGCGCGGGCCCGGCGCCGCCTCAGCCGCACTGCGGCGCCGAGGGGGGCGCGCGCACGCCCCGCGCGGTTCGAATCCCAGCAGCCAACCGGCTGCCGGCGGGGAGCCGGGACTGACCAATCACAGCGCTCAGGCGACCAGCGGAGGCTATAAAAGGCGGCGGAGCGGCGTGGAGAGGGAGGGCGTGGCCGGCGTTGGGGGAGCGGCGCAAGATGGCGGAGGGGGACAACAACAGCGTCTACCAGCTGGTGAGGGCGGCGGCGCCGGGCGAGGGCTGGCGGCCGCTCGGGCCTGCTGGGGGCGGCGGCGGAGCCAGGCCCGCTCTGCCCTGCTCTGCCCTACCCTACCCGCAGCGGTGGCTGGCGGGGGCCGCTCGGCCCCGCGCTGTGTGACGCGGTTCGGCGCTGGGGGTTCGGTGTGGGATGGGCTCGGGGCCGCGCGTGGGGCGGCTGCCGCGGCTGCCGCGGGTGCAGGCCCGGGGCGCGGGAGCGGCGGCTGCGCTGCTGCTCGCGGGCCGGAGCCCCCGGCAGCGCTTGGCGTTACGCGATCTGCGGCGGTCAGCCGGACTGTGTCTGTGTCAGTCTGTCTGTCCGAGCGCTCGTGTCCGTGCGTGTCTGTTTGTGTGTGTGCAGCCTCCCGCTGCGGCACCGAGCGCCGCAGCGATCCCGGGGAGCGGCAGGCGTTGGGTGATTCGGCTTAACTGAACGTGCCGAGATACGCTTGAGTAGTTAAATAAACATAAGGCTATATATATATACATATATATATATATATAGTTATGCCTCAGTTGGTAAGCGGCTGCTGTGGGGAATGGGAAAATCGCTGTAAAATCCCGTGAGGGGGCAGAGGCGTTTGAGCGCTGCGGGGCTGCGCACCCCGGCTGGGCACAGGGAACAGCTCCGGCTGCTCAGAGCTTCCAGGGAGGCTCCGGAGTTTGTAGAAAGCCCACGAGCTGTGTTGTTCTAGTGGCGTCGGAGTTCTCATTGGAATTAAGTGTAGCGCATAGCTGAGAGTGAAACCTGTTCTGTTACCTCTGCACGGCAGACGTGCGTGTCTTCATGGCTTTTCACCTCTTACTGCTCGGGCAGCAGTCGGTTCTGTTCATGGTTTACTGAGTTTTGTAATCTCTGAGATGCCGTCTCCCACTGAGGGGAGACTGTTAAGCTCTGTTAAGTGTGGAACACCTCGGGTGAACTGCTTAGCAAGCTGATGGCAGCACAGGTGGGACCTCCTTGCAGGAGAGGTGTAGGGAGGAATGCAGGAATCACAAAGGAAGTGGAGTTGAAAGGCTGTCTTGGGCAGCTTGTGGGAAAACTTGCTGTCCAGATGTGATCAGTTGGATAACCTTACTGTGGATTCTGAGTCTTTATCCATGTTCCTTATAATAAACTGACATTGGACAGCAGCTAGAATGCTTCAATTTAATGTGGTAGGCTTGTCTTGGAAAATACATGTATTTTTAAACAGTTCTCATATTACAGTTTTCCAGTCATTGACACTGAAAACTTGAGAGCTTTTAAAACCTGACTTTCTACTACTCTGGGGGGATAGGGTATGGTAAATGGGAGATTAGGGGAAAACACCTTGGCAAAATCTGGGAGGAGGTATTGTTTGGCCTACACATGCTGCTAGGATCTTGACTATTTAAAGGCATCACAGCTACAATGTCGTAAGTTAGTACAAAACTCACAATATTATTATTAATTTAATTACTCAGATTTGTGGCTGGGATCTTTAATTATTACACTAGGGGGTTTTTTTTAGCTACTTCAGTGTGGGAATTAATTTGATGCTCTGGTTAGTTAAAGGAGTTTTCTTCTCTTTTTGTGTAGGCAGCTGAAACTGCAAGCTTGGAAGAGCA